AATAAATTATAACAGGACAGAGTTTTAAAGATCGTCTGTACTCATTATTATATATTTATTATATATTTGTATGCTAATGAACTTATTTTTTCTTGGCTAACCTAGGGGAAAATAATTGATGAGAAAGACAAAGCACTGAAACAAATGGAGGCTAATTTGGAAACTACAAAGAAGTCTCTTGAAGGCACTAACAACAAGGTAAAGCAAGCAACCCAGGAATTAAAGAAGGTAATTAGTTTCATCTCACAGCTTTTCTTCTTTACCTTTATAAAAAAATTAATATTATTTTTGTTATATCCCAGGCTGTTGGGATTAAGAAAAACAAATGAAAATAAAAGACAAGTGTATTTTAGCACATAAATAAATAACTTTAAATCATTCACTGTCTGAGAACAGCAAGGATTGTATGAATTGAAACAATTACTTCTACATATGTGTCTGCTGGTCACCATGTTCAATTTGGAAGTGCTGCCCTGGTTATGATGGACAAGGGAAGTAACTCAATTGTATTTTTAGTTATCCTTTTTAGGGGAAGGAATTTAACTTTCCCTAACAATTTTCTATCAAAGAAAATTGCCTACAAAATAGTTGCTTGAATGAGGGTTGCTGTAAAGTAATTGGTAAAATTCTCAACAAACAGGACTGACAAATTTTACAACAAAGAATAAGAAAAATGAAGGAAAATAACAAGGCAAAAATAATATAAAAAAAGCGTGTTATGTATCCTTGAGGACACATGACACAGTGGATAAAAGTGTTGGTTAGATCCAGTGACAGGACCCAAAGATTGTGAGTTCAGTACACGGTTAATGCAGTGGAGAACTTGGAGAGGAGAATTAACAGGAGATAACTGACATCCATTAAAAACATGGCGCATGGAACTAGAACAGTCTACCCCAGTGAGCGAAATAAAGGGTTCAGTTCGACCTTTCCAACCTCCTGAAGAAGGCCGTAGTGTACAACGGCCGAAACGTTGTAATACATATGGCAACAAAGATGAAGACAATAGTCTGAATAATGTACATAATACCTCATCTCAGAAATACAGACAGATACTGAAAGGCCAAAATGTTGTAATAAATTTGTCGACAAAGATGAGGACAATAGTCCAAATAATGTAATTAGTGTACATAATACCTCATCTCAAAAATATAGACAGATACTGAAAAAAAAATCGATATATATGCAAGTTAAAACTAGACAAAGCAACAGTAATAAGTCAAAGTACACAAGGTAAGAATAGTGTTAATGTACAAAATAGATTCAGTCAAGTGGTTACTACAATGCAATAATTCTCGGATTAGTTCTCCAAGTTTTTCACACAAGTACATATGCATGGTGATTTTCTCCATGTTTCTATATCGACTACTAAATTGTGTTATAGCCCAAACAAACTCTGTCACATGACTGATATACAATACCAAGGAACAAAAAAAACTATCAGAACTTTTAAATCAAAAAAATAATAACTTTTTCAATTCCAAGATGTTTACGACCACATCTGAAAGCCTGTGATTTTTAATTTATCTTTTGATCTTTAACAGACGTTTGCCCTCTGCAAATTTTTCTTGTTCATTACATAAAATTTGTAAAGCAGACTATGACTTTTTTTAAATTCCTCTGTGTGTTTCTGCAGTAAATTTTTTCTCAATACTTGGAGTAAATACTTTTTTATCTCACTTCTGATTAGTTTGAAAAGTATTTTCGGAAATTCCAATATGTTTACTACTGCTACATCTGGAATCCTATGATTTCTAATTTATTTTATTAGATTAAACTGTTTCTCTATAAGTTTACTTAATATTAGTCCGGTGTTGTTTATGATGCTTGTTTAAATTTCTGTAGGCAAAGCAAGAAATGGACAAAGAATTGAAAGGACTAAAAGAAAATCTGCAAAAAATGGAGAAAGAAAAAACTTCATTGTCTCAAGAATTGAGTATGAATGTAAGCTATTTTTTTTTCTTTTGTGAAGAACAACACACACACACACACACACACACACACACACATATATATCTATATATCTATATATCTATATATATCACTGTCTGAAAATACTGATAGTCAGGCAGGAAAGGAGCAGTGTACTTTGTGTTGTTGAAATGTTTACTAAACAAAAAGTTTCTTTTCTAACTCTTTATAGTTACAGTGGTCACATGACAGGGTTATCATGTGATCTCTGAAGTATTACAAAAGAAGAGGAAATCTATTTTTTTTTATTAAAAATTATTCTCTTCCATGTTATCAGACAGTTATATGGAAAAACAGCAATCTATTTTTCAACTTAAGGTAAGTCCTATTGCTTTATTTTTTTTTCTCAACCTGACCAATTTGGGTTCATTTGGAGGTTTGGGAGTATTTTCCTGACAACTTTCTTAATATCTAAAATAATGAAATTCACTTAGTGCCTGTTGTAGATTGATTAATTAACAAGGTTGTCTCACAGGCCATTCATAGTAATAACATAAACAAAAAATTTATTCTTAGTCAGGCTTTGGTAAGTGAAAACAAAAACTTTAGAAGACCCCCAAAAAATCAAGTTACCTTGTCTTGACCCACAGAAAAGCCAGAAAAGTATGTATGTCAAGAACTTTAAGGTAACCAAAAAAAGTCCTTGGCATTTTTTATGTTGTGTCGAAAGAAGTAATCACAAATGAGTGTCAAGCCAGGAAAGCAGTAGGGATGTGGTCATTGCTCTTGACCAATGCAGGTGTGTTCTACACAAACATCTGTTATAGCTTGAGCAGCGTCAAGGAAACACTGCAGTTCATTTGCGGTTGTTTTTTTTATAACTTTGAAAGGTGGGCTTGTCCATAGCCACATCAAGTTGCTGAATATGTCAAGCTTTTAGGGCATAATGCTGTTGGTGAACATTCTGCCAGGCATTGGTTCCAGGTCAAGAGATCTGTCCACTTGTGATGAACCCTGCAATGGCCGGCCACAATTACTGGATGATGAGGCCCTGAAAGCAGCCATAGAGGAGGACAACAGCCAAACCTATGGTGAGCTTTCCAGACACTTCCAGATTTCTGATGAAACATCCAGACTTCACCTCCTCTGCATAGAGAAGGTGAACAAGTGGGTATGCCCTACACGGTTGGAAACCAACAAGTAACAAATGGCAGCCTGTTTCTCATCGCTTTCTCGGTATCACAATGTATCCATATCACACAAGATCACCTCTACAACCATGCAAGATCATGTTCTGAGTCAACAAGTAGGGCACTATGATGACCAATGGACCAAACCATCACTGCGGACATATACTCGCAGCAGTTGGAACATGTGAAACAGGCAATGAAAGCAGGAAATGACAGCATTAGTTAATCACAAATGAGTACTGTTTCTCCATGACAATGCCACTTCTCATATAGCACTGGTGGCCAAGGATACTGTACGGCAACTTGACATTGAGACACTGTACCATCTACATTACTACCTGGACCTTGCGCCAACAGATTACCACCTCTTCCATTCTCTGGACAACCACCTTTGTTGGAAATCCTTCACAAATGAGGCAGACTTGTGGCAGGCACTCTAGACTTCTTTGCGTTCAAGTTACATGATTTTTATCGCCAGGGCTTGTGCAGCTGGAGACACATTGTTTATGGATGCCAATTGGGATGATTTTTTAACTAACAGTATGTCAAATTTGGTGTTTACCTTTTTTGTTCTAATAAATTAAAAAAAAAAATGGCAAGGTCTTTTTTTGGTTATCATGTATATCCAGGACATATTCCTGAGCAAGTGTGGTGATCTTGCTTTCATTAGACAACAACACACACACACACACACACACACACACACACACACACACATATATATCTATATATATCACTGTCTGAAAATACTGATGTGGATGCCTTACTCACCTTCATAAAGGAAGGGAGTCTATTATAATTCAAAATATATGAATATGACTAAACATTTGTTGTTTTGTAATGATTAGTATTATATGTATATATATATATATAACTTAGCTAATATGTTTCGTCCTCTGACGGACTCTATCAAGGCAAATGCAAGGATTTTATTTTGTAACAAGTATTTATATACAAGAGCAAAAATGTTATAGGTTTTCCAAAATTCTTTAGTTAGGAACACTCATAAATATTCATCAGGTGAACTGAAGACGTCAGGCAAGCTATGGGTGATGCAAAGTGGTACAAATCAATGTCTAATATGCAAAAGTGAGGTTTTGGAAATTTTTTTTTTTTTATATATGTAAATACTTGCATACTATAATTTTTTTATACAAATATGTGTTACAAAATGAAATCTTTGCGCTTTCCTTTATAAAGTCCCACAGAGGATGAAACATGTCAACTTAAGTTTTCCTTTTTTTTTTACAGATAGACTCTATCTGAATATTTTTACACACACGCACACACAGAGATATATATATATATATATATATATATATATATATATATATATATATATATAATAAATTTTTATATGTCAACAATTTGGGAAGATGTATGACAAAGTGGAAAAGTTATTGTGGCACATTTCATCCTTTAGGACAACGTCAGCATAAAATGCATCACCCAAAAAGTTTTTCCACTTTGTCATATACATACATAACCAACACACACACACACACACACACACACACACACACATATGTATATATCCCGCATATACTCGTGTAACACATGATCTCATGTCTTATTTGACCCCAAATTTTTATTTATAAAAAATGATTTTATCATGTATCTCATGTATCATATGAGTTCCTTTTTTTGAGAGACCAAATCACTATAGACTAACCTCTTTTCCTCTTTATCCCATCTTCTAGTTAAATAAGTTAAAAAAATTAAAAGAGAATGATAAATAATCATTAGTAACGCTATACTCGTTTAACGTAAACGCATGCAGCCATAAACAACCCGAACGAGAAACAGCTAAACATTTTATAAACGTAAACAATGGAAAACAGGCATATTCGCTGTTTCTATTTTATAATACGATACAAATATAGGAATATTACATGAATTATTATTAGATAAAGTTAAGTAAAACATCAGTTTTATCAAAATTATGTTCATTTTAAATACAGCTGTACTCTTTTACTACAATAAATGGATATATATTTTGGTCACTGGTATAGCCAGGGCCAGCAGGACATACACTAATTTTATATCTCATGTATGATTTGACCCACTTAAAACTAGCTTTTCAAAAGTCACATGATACACAGGTGTGTATATATATATATATATATATATATATATATATATATATATAAAAACATAAAACATTAGGCAGCATATAATTTACATACAAAGAAATAATCACACATAGAATCAATCAGAAGTATTAATGCGATTATTGGCTACATCCATCACTAGATTTTATAAGGAAAAAAAACACATGCCTGATGATGAATAGAAGACTATTTGTAAGTACTAGCATTTTAACATCAAATAAACTGAAAACTACAGACAACAAGTTTATCGACGAGGATCAACTCACACTATGGATGAACAGTATTTTAAGGCATATATTATGTTTTCTAGCGATGGATGTCACCAATAATCACATTAATACTTCTGATTGATTCTATGTGTGATTATTTCTTTGTATATATATATATATAATATGTGTGTTACAGATTTCTACAACTTTAAGTTTCATGTGTACATTAAATGTTGATGCTGTTGCCTCACAATCTTTAAACAATAATGTTCACAAGATACTCAGTTACTTATTCTTAGGAATTGAGCACCTCATCACTCTTGTCGGCTGAGGATTGTAAGCCAACAGCATTTAAGTGTGCACATGAAATCTTACATTGCAGGAAGCAGTAAAAGCGGGAGAAATCTTTTGATATGCATTTTGCCCTTGAGGACTTCATCAGAGTAAAGTGATATTTTTTGGTTCATGTAATTACATATGCAACAAAAGGGTGGGGTTGCTGAAATTTTCAATTTAAATATCTTCTATATTTAACTAGACAAATGATAATTTTTAATATTTCTTTGGTTTTTTAAAATGGTGAATGCTTGTTTTTACACACACACAATCTCCAAGTTTAATTAACCGTTACCTCACTAATTTCTTTCCAGAATTGCTTCCCCTCACACTGCATATGGTTTGTTTTTTTTGAGGGTACAAAAACATGCACACCTACTGCTTTAAAATTGTTATAACTTTCTTTGTATTGTGCGTATAGATTTTAATTTTTGTACCCTAATAAAAGAATATTTTGATGTAATGCATTACATTTTGCAGGCATCTTTTGACATTGAAAATAAAAAATTGAAAGTTTAAATAGAAAATGCAAAATAAAAAAAAAATACATTAAAAAATGCATAATTCAATGTACTTTAAATTTTCTTACTCTTTGTGGAGTTCTGAGGGTGCAATAAGAAGCAAAATTGCTAAAAAGGCTTTCATTTTGTCATAAAAAAGTGACTAGTTTCCGCGTGTTTACATATGAGAAGACACTAGCATTTATTTGCTCTTTCTTTCACCTGACTCATATTCATTTCTCTCATTGACGAATAAAGTTATTATTTTGTTGTTTATAAATAGACAAAATAATTCACCTTCAGAAATGCTCTCAGATATATCGATGGTTGCCAGTAGCTTCATGAGATTATTCAGGTCATAGCCACTAGTGGTCATCATATCTTTCCTCCATGTCACTACTGTGGTTATCATCTCTAACCACTTCACCATCAATATCCACTAGAGTAAAGCCTTCAAAATCATCATCGGAGTCCTAATCAAAGAAAAACTCCTGAATAAAGGCTTTGTTGGATATTGACGTCATTTTTGTTTACAAAAAAATTGCGAAAAAATTAACATGGGTTTAATCAATGTCACATCTCCTGTAGAGTCTAGAAGAATTCAAAATGGCATTGGAAAAATGAAGTTTAGCCTTGTTCCAAAGCAGTAGTAGATGATTTCCAGCTTAAAATACCAGAAATAACAGTTGACAAGTGTTTATTTATCACATCAGTCTCAAGGCAATAGAATATACCTAGAGTAGCAAGGGAGAGAATGCTACAACCACTGTTGTCACCTGCAGTGTGGTAAAGACTAAAAAAAAAAAAAAAAAAAAATCCAAAAACGTCCATCCGTTTAATTTACTATGATATTTTTAAAAATTTTTGATAAGGTGTTGTGTATTGTGCTCAAACTGACTGAAATTCATATTTTGTTATTTTTGTTTAAGTACTTTCAATCATCACAGTCATTATCAAGAACCAGTGTGGTATCTATGTGTTAGAATTCTTTTATCTACATCCTGGTATTTTTTGGGAAGTTGGAAGTTTAACAGTTTTGGGGAATGAGGCTGCATGAAAATAATAAAATTTATTTAATTTACTTTTTTTTATTCATTTAATATATATAAAGGAAAAATTAATTAAAGGAAAATTAATAAACTTTAAAAAAGTTTTTCCTGTGATATTTCATCTTTTAGGACTTCAGACTTTTTTTTTATTTTATATTTTGTTGTTTTTCTTTGTTCTTTTGTTGTTTTTCTTTTGTTGTTTGTTTTTTCTTGTATTTTCATCATTTCTCAAAGTAGTATTGTAACTGTAGTTTTTATTTATCATTTTAAGAAATCATACGCTACAGGCATATTTTGTTTTGACTTCCATCGGTTGGATCAATTTACCTCCCACTCTTAATTATTGTAATATTGTTGTGCATATTTTATAATTCCACCAATTAATTCTCAACAAATGCAATTATTCATTATTTAAATCATTTACACTCAAACTGTTGTCTTCATCTTTGCTGTTCTCATCACGTTTCAGCTTCTGTGCCCTCTGGCCTTTTTCAGGCATTTATCAATCCTGCTAATCTTCAGAGAATTTCAAATTGAAACATTTATTTCATCTATGGTGGTAAATTGTTTTCTTCTGATGTCAGTATCTAGGGATATCTTGTCTGGTTCTTTTTTTGACCTGCTCATTTATTGTTTGCTTTGTTTTCACTGAGTCTAAATCTGCACTACCTAGCCCACGGATTGAACTCACAATGTCGGTAAATTCACAGACCAACACTTTAATCGACTAGGCATGGACCTCCAACATTCCCTAAAGGTTGCAACAAGAACATGAAGAAGACCATTATGATAATTGTAACAACTGTAAACATACTGCAGGAACCCCACCGAAGCTTTCCACAAACCAGCCACTTATTAACCTAATGTTGCATTCTGATTCTTGATCTCGTCAACATGCATCAAAGTTTCCCATACCATATGTAGCTGTTTTATTTAAGGCTTCACCTGTTTTTCTGGGTGGATAGGTAGGTGATACTGGTGAAAACTTCTGCTATGTCAGCTCTTCACCCTACCAAATCTTCATCCATCTACTCATGCCAACATGATGGCTGGCAACACAAATGGCAGCTTCAGAACTGTGCGACAGACACATCTATCACCTGCAGACCAGAACTCTCCTCCAATCCCAAGCCTTACTGTTATTATAGACCAGCATCCGGATATATCCTATTTCAGGCTTTGTTGTCATTCGATCTCCAAAAACCCCTTATCCACTCCTTTACATCCTATTCCCCTTTGGTCAAAGTGGATGTCGATTAGAAGACTGAACTTTGAAATGAACTATCTGCTGGTCAATTAAACAGAATCACTTCAGATCAGGATAAAGCCACTTCATCCCTTTCTATGTGGGTGTCCATATTATCATATTTAAATTACAAGGACAACCCCAAACATGACTTAATATAGAACAGCACCTGGATGTACTATATTTCCAGTCTTGTAGCCACTTGATCTCAAAAAAAAAAAAACTCTATTCCCTTTTGGTCAAAGTCAGTGCCACTTAGAAGACCAAACTTCAAAAGGAACCATGTGCTGGTTCATCAAACAGAAACATTTCAGATCAAGATAAAATGATCTCTTCCATAATATCATAAAGGTTTAGCTAATGTTTACACTAATGTTTGACAATGACCAAACTCAAGTATTATATTTGGTGACATGAGGTGACTAGATACCCAAGTATTATATTTAGTACCATGACCAACTGATATCCCTTCCTACTCTATTGAGAAGTTTAGTATGAATGTATTGGGAGCTTGTCTATCATGAAGTCCAGTCTATTTGTGTCTATTGGGAATGTTCAATGATGATGAGATGTTCAAAGAATACTTCCATCAAACACATCTTTCCTTTCTACATGGGTGTCCATCATATCACACAGAGATGAAGACAATAGTATATGCAAATAATTTAAGTAATAACTACAGAAATTCAAGTAGAAATTATGCAACCGTTCATTCAAAATGATCAGTTACAATAAAGAATACAGTATGTAAATGAATATATATATATATATATATATATATATATATATATAAGGGAACATTGAAGTCAACACTTAGAGGTGACAGGCTGTTTCATGCTAGATGAAATCTTGGCCTGGCAATAGCGTCTAGCATGAAACAGCCTGTCGCCTCTAAGTGTTGACTTCAATGTTCACTTTTATATTTACACAGGGTCTATCTCTGATATTGAGCACTTTATCACATAAATATAACACACCTTAAGAGTATACTTCTTCATATATATATATGAAGATATACAAGTGAATATATAACTTAAGAGTATATTTCTTCATATATATATGAAGATATGCAAGTGAATATATAACTTGCTTTTTTTTCTTTTTTTTACAATATGCAACGACTAATTTTATATTTTCTTGAAACCATTCTAATTAGTTCATTAAAAAGTGCGCCTGAAATTTCTATCCTCTTATAATACTCTTCTGAATTACTGGTTCATATTACTATTTTGTAGTAGTATAATGGATGTGATAGTGTAAGCAGTTCAGAACGAGAAATTGGAGAACCGAATTCGAACTCCAGTTGGGTTTGTTACATTCACTTACACGCAAGTGTCATTGGGGAAGGTATGAATCCATCTCTTCCCCCTAGCTATGGGTTAAATAATAGGACTTGTATCTAGAAAAATCATTATTTCCCCCAAAAAATTATGCAATATTCACTCACAAAAAAAAACTATTTTTACAATCCAAAATATGCTTCTGCTTTAAATAACCCACAAAGGGTTGATAAACTGCAAAAAAAAAAACCAAATCAATCAATTGTTGTTTTCTGCTTCCAGGTAAAAAATCTTGAAGCCAAAACCAGAAGTCATGAAGAATTAGGAAAGCTTCATGAGAGTACAAAGAAGACATTGGAAGAGACAAAGAGTAAATTTGGACAGTCGCAGGAATCGCTCAGAATGGTAAACGTGTTCTAATATGATTTGTTCCTTTTAGAGTGTTACAAATTTTGTAATAGACACAGCCATATTTTAAGCTATCAACACTGAGATAGTGCTGAAATGGTCTCAACCTGACCCACTTACCAAAATCAGAACAAGTGATATTTTTTTTTCTTATAATTCTTAAATGATGGGGAAGAGTGCATGCTAAATGAGTAAAAAAATAAAATGTTTATTTTTATTTTTTATTTTTTTTTTTTTTCCTCCAATTTTCACATTTTGATTATATACAAAAACTGTTTCTAAAGAAGTGATGGTGTTTTATTTTATTAATCTGAAAGATTATATTAAACATTATTTTTTAGTGAATACCCCATTTATTTATTAAACAGTATATTTTCTTTAATAAGATTTCTCAAATATTTAGCCCAGAAGCCAAAAAATATTTATACTGTTTAATTTTTAGGAATGGATTTTTTTTTTATTAATTTAACATCTTAATTTTTTGCTTAAACACTATTTGTTAGTGGATGCCCATATTTGAGTAGATGTTCTGTTTTTATTTATTAAATAGTATATTTATTTCCATTTACCAGCCTGAATATTTGAGAAATCCTGTTAGAAAAATATGCACCCTCCAGCAAGATTCGAACCTGCATCTCCTAGGTGAAACCTTAATTAAACCTGACATGCCTTGACCTCTCAGCCACAAAGAACTTTCTGGTCAAACAAAGTCTGAATAGTGCTTTTGAACACATATTTTTCCCGATTCTCAAAATATACGTATCTGCTCAGTTTCATATCCTAACGTAAGCGAAAACAATTTTTAGGAATGGATTTTTTTTTTTATTTATCCGACATATTTTAATTTATTCCTTAAGCATTATTTTTAATGGATGTCCATATTTAAGTAGATGCTCTGTTTTTATTTATTTACTGGTTTAAAAGCCACTCTATTGGCCCTCTGCTGGCAGAGATTTCTTTTTGCGAGCCTACTGCCACCATTTAATTTAAAGACAATTTGATGTGCGTAGGTTCTTACATTCCATACAAAAAAGTATTTTTATTTCATGGTTGACTTCAGATGGATTTCACAATTCTAATTATTCCAAAATATATTTCCAAGTCATTAAAATTATCATACAAATGTTTGTCACAAAAAAAATTCACAGAAAACAATCGCAGTAATTAAACTTGGGAATCCAAAATTTTTGTAGCATGAGATACTGAAAGTTAGAGATTTGTGTCCTGTTAATTGAAACAGTGTGACGCACTGACATTTGCATTTTTTATATAGATTAAACAGTATATTTAACATTGTTTTTATATATATATATATATATATATATAGTGCATGATATATATATATATATATATATATATATATATATAGTATATAAAATTGTGCTTGAGATATATGTAATATTTTACCCTCATTTTGTGAATACTTGGAATTTTTTTTCAAACATTACCAAACATTTTCTTAGTGATTATAAGACAAATATGGAAAAAACATTGCAAAAAATATATTTTTTAATTATTTACTACCTCTTGCCATAAAGTATGGAAAGTAATTACCTTTACAGTTTTTTTTTTCTATTTTACAACTTTCTGATTTTTGGGTAGTCCTCTCACATTTTTGCTTTTCCAATGTGCCTGGATGGAACAAAGTTTTTTTTTTTTTTTTTTTTTTTTTTTTTTTTTAAAGTAAAATATTTGCCTAACACAGTAAATTGACATTTGTGTCAAACAGTATATCACCAAATATCTAAAAAAAAAACAAAAAAAACTTTGTATGTGAGAGATAGTGTACTAAAAAGTTCTTGGTCTGACCCACTTTGAAAAATCTAACCAATCATTATAATGATGGTCATCAACATCATGTTCATTATCATCACAATGGCGATTGTCATCATAATGATCATCACAGTGGTCATCATTATAAAATTAAATAAAAATCATATCGTAATAATAAAAACAGCAATAACAATATTATTATTTTTAATGAGGCAAATGTCCATCAATAAGTAAAGGAGAAGGCCAAAGAATGTTTTCTGAATCTTCAAGAGGATGTGACGCATGCAGACCCCATTAATTAATTTTAATATTTTTTTTTTTTTAATGTTTTTGTATTAGATGAGATTTCTACTGATCTACCAGAGATTTGAAACTGACAAGTATGACATTTTGAATTTTATTGATGTCTCTTGTTTTCAAGTCCTCAAAAAAAAAATCTCTTAAAGAAGTTTCTTTTCTGATCTGTCATGTTTACGTCCTTATTGCCTCTCTGGAGAAACTACATGTAAAGATTTGTCACCAGTCACATCTATGCTACCATCAGTGAGGCTTGAACTCATAAGCAACAGTGAGAAGTACAAATTTATTGTTCTCTGTTAGGGACATAATCTGCTAACATATTTTCTTGATTTTTTTTTGCTCAGGTGAAACAGGACAATGCAAAACAGGTGGAGAAAATGAAGAAATCTTTAGAAGACAGCACAGCAAAATGTTTGCAAATTGAACAAAAGGTAAATTAAATTTAATATATTACTTATTATTAGATTTGTTTTCAGTTTCAGGAAGAAGTTGAATTTTTGGGTTATAAATTGAACTTTTTATTTTCTTATTTCACCTCCAAGCAAGGTGGAAATGCCACTAGAATGCAGGGAGAGAAAAGATAGCAAGGATTGAAGAAAGGATAAAAAACGGATAGGATTCAAAAACATAGATGGCGATTGATGTTGCATTTAAATTTTTGAAGATTGTAGTTGTCAGGGAAGCAAGGAAACTGAAGGGAGTTCCACAGATGGGAAGTGCAAGAAAAGAAACTGTTGGAGTATAAGTGGTGGTTGCATTTAGCAATTTCAACAGTAAACAGGTGGGACCCACAGTGTACAATGGATAAATTGTCATCTAAATTACACAAAAATGAAAATAATACTGACATCTCATTTTAACAGATATATTTACCAAAATTAAACAAAAATATCTTGTCATCCTTAGTATGACGATAAACTACATCTGTGTCCTGGGTAAGACAATAAACTACGTCCAGCAGCAAAGGCCTCTGATCAGGAAGTTTTGTGGAGCTTGGAACCACCTCTTAATTGCTGGTGTTCCCAGGTCCACCCTGACCCGGAGTGGTAGCACCTGTTAGGGTCCCAGCTATGGGCAAATAGTTGACCCCACAACCACTATGAATGTGTAAAAATATATTTTAATACCAGAAATACTTTTAAAAAGAAATTAGTATCAGCAATAGGTATTTGAAAAAAGAAAATATTACCAGAAATAAAAATCTTGTCAGCATTAAATAACCCATTGAGGTTAATATGTCACAAAACAAAACAAACTATACATTTTTTTTTAAATATTACCAGCTATACATTTCTGAAAAAATTACCAGCTATACATTTTTGAAAAAAAAGGGAAATTTTGTCGGCATTTAATAACTCATTGTGGTTGATATGCCATAAAACAAACCAAACCAAAATATCTTGAAATACTAGAGTAAATTTATTCAATAAAAGCACCATTCGCTTCAACCACGGCCTCTAGACAATTTCAGAATCTCCTGCAACACTTCTGGATGGCCTCCTTTTTTTTAGTTGATGAATGCTGCCATAATCCTTGCCTTCAGTTCATCTTTAGTGTTACAAGGAGTTTTGTTGGTCTCTTGATCAACTGCTCCCCACACATAATAATTAAGGGGGTTGCAGTCTGGGGAGTTAAGTGGCCAGATGTAAAGGGGTATTTGGTTGCAGAAAATGTCTGTGTTCTCCAGCTTGTGTAGCATGGTTCAGGGCAGCACTACCTTTTCAAGGAACTTAATCTAGGCCTCTGTGTTGAGTCTGAGGCCCTCACTAACAAATTCAGATATTACTTATAAGAATTAAAATAAAAATCTGATATTATAAGAATTAGAAGAAATATCTGATATTAATTGTAGATTTCTAATATTAAAAAATCCTACCTTCAACCCTTGGCACTGAAATATGGCCATAATTTTCATTTCCACCATTACATACTTTGAAGTATTATTGGGAGTGAAAGTCTTTTGATGTATTTAATAAATCCTCTCTGGAATATATTGACTTACATAAGCAGCTAATTTAAGATATTTTCATCCCCACCATGGATTCATTTTTTGTACCCTTGTTTTTTAAACTTCCATTATTCCTTTTTACTTTTTTTTTTAATTCTTGTTGATTCTTGCATTAAAAACTTTATCTTCAAGCTGTACCAATTCTTAACTCAATTTTTAAGATGTACTTTTTTTCTGTGTTGAATGCATTCTGTAAAATTCAATGTGAACTTTTTAAAATCTTTTTCTTTTTCACTAGATGTCTGCATTAAGTCAAGAGTATGAACAAATCCAGAAAGTAAAACAGGGTCTTGAAAACCAGTTGTTAGAAGCCAAGAATAATTTAGAAAATAAAGTTAAAGAACTTCATTCTGAGAAAACGTCATTTCAAGAAAAACAGGTAAGATATTCAAATAACTGTCTTTCTGGAAATATATACATAAGTAGATCGATAAGTCTACTGTTGCGGTTATTTCCTGGTTGCGTGTGGATTTGTGCTCGCCAATGAGAGTTGAGTGAACAAAATCTAAGGCTCAAAATAACTATTTAACAGATTTTATTTCTGGTTGAAAGAAAGTGCAAAATAGTATTTGGAGAAAAAGTGGGGGTTTCCCAGTTAACAAAATTATGGAGTAGATATTTTGTAAAGAGAGATTTCTTCACTTGTTTCGATGAGAAATTTGAGTGTGAAGCTGCTGGGACAGGCCTCGTCTTCTGCAGCAGGGGTTATGTGTAGTTTTCTTTTGGTAAGTGTCTTGAAAGGTGATTTCTCCATCAGTTCTCATGGGAGGAATGAGAAGTCTAAGTCAAGCTACCAGGACATGCCTCATCTTTTGCAGCAAACATTGTGTCACCCTTCAAACTGGACTTCTGAAAATGAAACATGAAAAAAAAAAAAAAAAAAAAGCAGGCCTTGAATGTAGAGGCCACTAAAAAAAAAAAGAGAGCTATGCCATGAGATAGAGGCGGCTGAAAAGGAAGATGAAAAAGAGGCCAAATCAGGCTCTGTCAGCATTTTTATCACTTTTGGGACTTTCAGTTGTACCCTCTCATTATTTCCATTGCTGTTGTTGCTAACAAAGTAAGGAAGCCTCCACATGCCACAATAGCCAACAAGTGAGATAGTTTCTATACTACAGCCTGATGAGGAAAAAGCATTTGAATTTGTTTTTGAAAATTGTCATTTCTGTCAACAAACTTCAATAGCGTATGTAAATACAGAATAAACATCATAATGGGACTATTTCAGATCAAAATTCACTTCCGTCCTTGGTATGACAATAAACTACATCTGTGTCTTGAGTAAGATGATAAACTTCATTCGACAGCAAGGCCTTTGATCATGAGGTTTTGAGGAGCATGGAACCATCTCTTAATTGCTGGTGTTCCTAGGTCCCCTCTGACCCAGTATGGTAGCACCTGTTAGGGTCTCAGCTATAGGCAAATAGTTAACCCTGCAAAAGGGGTCAAAACACCATGAAAGTATAAAAATAGGTTTTAATACCAGTGCATTGCTTGAAAAATTATTACCAGCGGTACATTTTTGAAAAAGAAAAATATTACCAGCGGTACATTTTTGAAAAAGAAAAATATTACCAGCAGTACATTTTTGAAAAAGGAAAATATTACCAACAATAGATTTCTGGAAAAAGATATTACCAGCGATAAATATCTTGTCGGCATTAAATAACCCATTGAGGTTGATATGCCATAAAACAAAGCAAACCAAGCCAAACCAAAATTCACCTGCCCGGTCAGTGGGGCATCAGAATACGCCGACTGCCCCCCCTGCAGAGGGTAAAAGTCCCTCAATAGGGCCACCTGTTGATCATGGGTGGTGACTCGTAATGTCTGGGGACGGGATTCTGGTAGTTGAGCAGGTCATGATCCAGGTGTAAAGCAGTCACAACCCTGCAACACAACACTTTGGCCTTTACCTGGGCTAGACGGGCGGCCGGAGGGGCCCGATCCGATCAATCAAGCCCCATCATATATAATCCACCCCAAACCTATAACTTACACTCCTCTTCCCAACCAAAACTAACTCCTACCCCTAAATATATGATGGAAGGTGGTGGCTGAGGGTCAATCAATTTGGGAGAAAAAAGGATCTGATACACCTGCTAAACCTTCAAAGCCGTAAAACTTGGATAACGGAAACAAAGGAACATGCCTGCTCAAAGAGAGTATACCATTCACGTAGCCCCAACATGGCAAGGCGAATGGGTTTCCCCCTTGTCATGTCCCAATACTGGACTCCGTGGTGGGTAGGGAGCATGGATGATGAATCAAAATAAAAACAATCAATGGAAAAAAAGAAATCTTCCAAGAGACCACGTGGATAATGACTCTGAAACAGAAAATGATAGTGAAAACTTTCCACGATTTATTGTTCTAGAAGCAATAAGCAACAAAGCACTAACTGAAATATCTCCATCTAAAATCCAAAAAGCTATATCAAATATAATCATACCAAAAAATGTAAAAAAACTACAAAATGGAACATTACTAGTGGAAGTGGAAAAAAAGATATGTGGATACACTAATAAGACAAAAAAATTTACAAGAAATAGAAATAAAATCCTACCCACACCAAACCCTAAATTTCTCAAAGGGTGTAGTAAAAAGCAAGGAGCTCTCCCTGTGCACTCTAGAGGAGATAAAAATAGAACTCCAAACTCAAGGTGTTACAAACATCAAAAGAATCACAAAGAAAAATGAAGCAGAGATACGAACTAATACCTACATTCTAACTTTCAACTCCCCCCAAATTCCAACAACAATTAAAATCAGATATGAAATTATAAGAGTGGAACAATACATACCAAACCCTCTTCAATGCTACAGATGCCACAAATATGGGCATCACAGAGATTCCTGTCAAAACAAACAAACATGTGGAAAATGTATTGAAAAAGAAGCAGAACATAAAGAAGAGAACTGTCCAAATGAGAGCCTATACTCAAACTGTTTGGGAAACCATTCTGCCCTCTCAAAACAATGTAGTATCTACAAACAGGGAAAAAAATAATAATAATAAAACACAAAAAAAATATATCTTTCTCTGAAGCATGAAAGGAAGTTAAAAAAAAAAATTCAGTAGATTATGAAACCCAACAGCCTCCCAACCTTTTATACAACTATCTTATTTACATAAATAAACAAGGCTTCAGCATAAAATGACCCAAATAGGAGTTGACATGCCATTAAATCCAACAGCCAACAACCAACCAAAATTAACTTCATTTTGACATGTGCCATAAGTTTTATCAAGTACAAAATACAGATTAAAGTAACCAAGGCTACATACCAGGCTATGAACTTACAAAAATATTGTCTATTACATATAAGCTGGGAACTGAAAAGTTTTCATCCGAATAAAAAAAAGGCATTTGAAAAGAAAACTAAATATGATATACAACTATGTATCTTCAAATGTTGTTGTTATATTGTTGAAAAGTTTTACATTAAATTTTAGAAGTTTTGTCAAATGATGTCAGAAGTTTTGTCAAATGATGTCAGAAGTTTTGTCAAATGATGTCAGAAGTTTTGTCAAATGATGTCAGAAGTTTTGTCAAATGATGTCAGAAGTTTTGTCAAATGATGTCAGAAGTTTTATGTCAAATCTTTCTTTTTTCTTCTCACAGGATCAACTGCAGAAATCTTTAAAAGAACAAGAAACACTTTACCAAAGACAGATCTGTGAACACGAGGCAAAGATAAACACCCTAGAAGCTGAATTACAAACAGAAAGGGTATTTACTTTTATCTCTATCCACAGTTTTCAGAAAAAGTCCTAAATACGTCATCAGTATATTTTGGAAAAGGTTATTGAAGGTCAAGTTAAATTTAATCTCAATTTATAATTTGTCCTTCATCATTTGTTGCATAATCCATTGAATGTGTGGGTGGTGTAATAGATAACGGCTCAGAATGAGGAATCAGAGCTGAGTTCAAATTCCAGTCAGTGTTCGTTACATTCACTTATGCACAAATATACTTGGAAAAGTTATAAATCCATCTTCTCCTCCCAACTACAAGTTAGATGGTAGGATTTGTATTTGGAAAAATTATTATTCTAAATTAAAATTGTTAACAAGATATTCACTCACAAATGAAGGATGCTTCTTGACCTCTTGAAGTCTAAGGTCAATCGTTATCTATCCTCCCTATCCTCATAATCTTCACTTCTTCCTATCTCCTCTTACTTTCATATACTGCATTCAGTAACCCTCTACCTTAAGCGGCTCTTGAGTCATGTATTGAGTGAAGTTTAAAAAAAAAAAAAATTTTTTCTGATAAGAATTTAACTTAATATTTTTATATATATATATATATAATTTTTTTTTTTTTTTTTTTTTTTTGTATTACTCTTACATAAACACAATAAACAGGAAAAACAATCTCAACTGTTGGTAAAGCTCCACCTATCATCTGGTTCACACCACTCCTTATTTTTCGTTCTTTTGAACAGGAGCAGATATATATCCCTATTTTCCTGGATTTCAAATTCCTACTAAAGTCTATTTCAATTCTATATTTCTAACATCTCCACATAAACTGATATTTAATAATTATTTTTTATTTCTCCTCAATAATAGTAGATATGTTCACCTATTGCCTGATTCACATATCTCCCCAGTCTTTTGAACAGGAGTAGAGGTTTATCCCTTGTTTCCTGTTCAGGATTGGCTTTCTGGTTCCTTTTAAATTCTTTTTCACTTCCTGTAGCCGCTTGCATCTTAGTGACATCATTGCCTTGCTTGTTAATATCTCTAATTTTTCATAATAAATCAAAAGCAGAAGAATGAACTGTTGGGATTGGTCCATTCCTAAGGGGGTCTCCGAGAAAAGGTAGCAGAGGAAAGCTCAAAGAAAGTTCTAACTACCAATTATAAGAAGACAGAATGTACAGGCATTCAGTACAAGGGACATTCTTGGAAGCAACTTGAAGATGTCAAAATCAAGCAAGTACAAAAATTTAAATATCTGTAAAAGTGTTTTAACAGAGGATGGAAAATGTGACATTGAAATCTGAAGGTGCTTTGGAATAGCAAAATAATATGCCTTCCAAAACCCAAGCAAAGTGTTAAGAAACAGGAAAATTTCTATAGAATTGTTTTGTAATATCAATCCTCCTATATAGCAGTGAATCTTGGACAATTTCACAGATGAAGGGGAGGCTTGAGACAGTTGAGATGTAGTTCTACAGAAAGATGAGAGCGTCATGGACAGAGCATGTGAGTAACAAGGAAATTTTAACAAAAAAAGGAAATGAGAAAGGTATCACTGAAATTTCTGGAACATAATGATATAAGACTTGTGGAAAATTTAGCACTCAACAGGACAGATTGAAGGCAACAGGTAGAAACAATACTTATAATTTACTTAACAAGCTTGTGTAAAGGGATAGCAGAACAGGTAAAGAGAAAGATAGTAAAAAGATAAACATTGGCAAGAGCGCCAAAGGATAGGAAGTTGTGGGGATGCCATGATCACCCACATTCTGAAAAGACACAACACAGATGTCTGCTAATTCAGTCTTAAGTTCTGGAGTTACCAGTCTATTAATTACCAGTCTGTTATATTTACAAAACTGTGTTTTATATTTTAATGAACCATTCACTACAATTATGTAGAAATTTATATATTGCAAATCAGAGCCCAGTGAAAGGGTCTCATGTCCCACCCATCAATAATACGCCCCCCTCCCCCTCCACTCTACTACATTTCAATTTTCATAATGTAGCATTCATATAAAATACAAATTTTATTCACTATTTACATTATTCGGACTATTGTCCTCATCTTTGTCGCCATATTTATTACAATGTTTCAGCTGTTGTAATAAATATGGCAACAAAGATAAGGACAATAGTCCGAATAATGTAAATAGTGTACATAATACCACATCTCAGAAATATAGACAGATACAAATTTTATTGTAACCTAATTATGTGCAGTAATGGATCATATGTGTTGTGGAGTAAATAGTACACCCTCAGTGACTGTATAAACTAGTCCATTACTATAAAGAACTCAAGGTCAGAGGTAAAACTGGTAGCTGTATGAAGTCAGCACTGCTTTGTGTCAGTATTTTCAGTTATATCACAATTCCCAAACAATGTTTTTTCAACCTTTTTTATCTCATGGCACACTTGGACACATTTATAATGGAAGAGATATTGGAGGAAAGATTAATTCTGCCACTTGATTTCCCCCATTATGGGTATTATTATATCTGTGATATAATAACACTGTACTTCACAGACCGAACAGAAAGGCTGAAAGAAATCAGGATGACAAACATGCTTTGTTCTCAGAGAGACTTTTATACCACTACTACATATACAAAACTATATATACATATGTTGTAACCTAGGGAAGGTTACTGAATAGAATAATGAAATGAAGGTTGGTAATGAACTATAACACTTAGGACAAGAACAATACATATAAGATTTGCCAACGGCACATAGTAGTCAAATGCTAGAAGTGAATCAAGTGAATTTCATAACGAATCCATTATCATCTGTAGGTATGCTATAACACATATTTACATGTGTCCCAGACAGAGAATAATATATCATATATCCACACAGTCAAGCTGTGTGAAAGGAGAATAAAAAAAAAAATACGGTATTGCTTATATTGTGGAGATTCTTCTGTGTTTCTGGAGAAGCCATGTTTAAAACTCTAGATTCAAATGGGCCAGATTCATCTACTATGTCTCAGGCAAGGATATATTTCACAAACTAGAAACACTGTGTTGGGTTTTCCTCAATTGGGGACTGCTAGCTGGAGATCTCTATCTCAGGGAAAAATTTATTCCCTAAGGGAAATGGCACCATGGACTTGTAAGCTGTAGCATTTGGCAGCTGGCTGCCCCAAGTGGAAGCTCACGCAGGATGAACTGCATGTGTATCTTGACACATATAAGCTTGCTGACTGACTAACTAACCACTTTTTGTCACTGTATGAAGTGATATCACTAAGTGGCTATCTTGATTATCTTGACCAAAGGGAGATAATCCTCTTTCATATATCTACATACTTAAGTTATAATGCTCAAAAAAAGATTTTAAAAAGATAATACTTAAAAGAAAAAAATCTTCTGTTTATTATAATTTAATATTTAATGAGATATCAGTGGTTGATGTTTTTTTAGAATAGCTTCTTTGCAAGGTCAAATTATGGGCAGGTATTTTCTTAAATCTTCTTCCAAGAATTCTGATCATGATTAATTTCTCTTTTTAATATTCTTTAATGCAGAAAAGCTTCCTTTTTATATTATTTTATATATTATGTATGCATTTAATTATTATAAGAATATGCTCGTACAATCAATTTAAAGGGGTTTTAATTTTGATATGTATACTTATTTTGCTTTGGACATCTTTTGAAAATAATCTGAGACACCTACAATCCTCTCCCGGCACACTGGTTGAAAATCAGTGTTAGAGTAAATGCCAAAAGGATTAAAAATTCCTTTGAAAAATATCAAAGAAATCATTTCCTTGTGTCTTCTTAATTTCTGTTCTTTTATTGTCCTTTGATTCTTTTGCACTCAGTAACCCCTCGGTGGCTTTATTGCCTTGCTTGGAGTGAAATAATTAACAAAAAAAATTCTTTTTGTTTTTTTTCTATTGCTAGCAAATTTATAAAATATATGTATGCACTCAACCATATTTTAATACAATTTTCCTCTTGGGTTTCCTGTCATATTTGTAGTAAAATTTAGATCTATCTGCAAAGCTTATATATTGGCCTTGACCTAACATCTCAACTCAAGTCACTTTCCCACCATCATGACATGGCTTCTCTCTGCCTTTTCTATAAATATTTTCACCGCAATTGTTCTAATGAGCTCTCCTCCTTGGTATATCAACTGCATGAATTTAAATGTTGAACTAACTAGATATTCTATTTTAATATTTGTTTTTCTCGCACTTCTCGCCTGTGTAACTCTCTTCCAGTTCCTTGCTTCCCTACTACATATGATCTACAAAAGTTTAAATACAACACCAATCGCCATCTTTTGTCTTCCTGAATTCTTTTCTATTGAACATATTGTCCTTTCTCACTAATGGCTTCTTATTTTCTCTCACTCTTGATAATCCCTTACATCTTAGTGGCTTTATTGCCTTGCTTAGGAGAAAAAAGATTTTTAAAAAAGACTTTGCATCTTTCATTCTTTCTAATAATTTACCATTTTATTTATTCACAGGAAAATCTGAAGGTTCAAATCGAAACTGAGAAAACACTTAATGAAAAGGTAAGACTTGTCAGATATTATTTAACTAAAAAAAACTTAAAAAATCTATTTTGCCTTAACTGTTGCTATTATAAAATCAAAAAGAATGTTGTAAGTATATTTTAATTATTCTGAACTATTGTTTCCATTTTAATTGTTATAGATTTTATTAGACATATTTCAAGTAAGTATAAATAACAGACATCTGATGAAGGCCAGAAGGTACAATGGCCGAAACATTGTGTCTATAATAACATCTATATGGTTCAGTAGGAATGAACAAGAACTGACATCACAGGGACAAAATAACACCTGATGATGGCTAGAGGGTTCTTGGTGGTCGAAACATAATAATATCAGTAACAACTAAGATGAGAACAATAGTTTGAAATACCAAATTATTTAAATTATGAAAAGCAGCATGAACCTGCCATGATGTTTAATGTAAATTCTCCAAAAACTTATGACACATGTCCTTTGAGATGATGTAGTTGATTAAACGCATTATTCTCACCGAGTGGTCAGGAGTTCAATCCCAAGTTACGGTAGTCAAACAATATACACAGGAATAGTCAAGAACTGACACCACAGGGAAAAATAACACAATGACTGACAGAAATCTCATATTAACCCAAATAATGGACACCTTAAGATGATATCCGCATCCTGGGTAAGATGATAAACTACGTCCAGCAGCAAGGCTTCTGATCAGTAGGTTTTCAGGAGCATGAAACCACCTCTTAATTGCTGGTGTTCCCAGGTCCACCTTGACCCGGGGTGGTAGCACTTGTTAGGGTCCCAGCTATGGGCAAATAGTTAACCGCGAAACTGGGGTAAAGACATTATGAAAGTGTAAAAGTAGATTTTAATACTAGAAATACTTTGTAAAAAATTATTAGCAATAAATCTTTAAAGAAAAAAAGCTATTACCAACAATACGTTTTTGAAAAAAAAATATTACCAGCAATACATTTTTGGAAAAATTATTACCAGAAATAGATTTTTGACAAAACAAAATATTACCAGGAATAAAAATGTTGTTGACATTAAATAACCCATTGGGATTGATATGCTGTAAACCAAACCAAACCTGAAGATGACCAGAGGAGTACTTGGCTGAAATGTTGTCTGTAATATCAATAACAACCAAGAAAAGAACTATAGCTCAAAATAACCAAACTATATTGAAAATTACACGCCTTAAAAATGAAATAAATTGTCTAAGTTAAGAAACAGGTTGAGTATCCTTTATTCGAAATTTCAAAATCTAAAAGTTTTTTAGGTACTGACATGACTCGCCACAAATGGAAAATTTCAGAAAGCCCTGGGAAGGTTCCTAGGTGACGTGTTGTAAGTCACCTCATCTGCCCTGGGTGGGGGTTCCCCAGCCCAGCTATGTAGCCAATGTTAGTGTCAGTTTTTTGTCAGCAATCGTCACAGCAACACCTTAGTTTGTGGATTACTTACCAGACGTTTCATGCTCAGTAAAGATATTATTCAAAAAGTCCTGCATTTGTATATTTTTGTAAGTAGTGATTGTTTTTTTTTTTTCTGTACATGTACAGAAAGTACAAAACATTATTCTTGAAATCTTAATTTCACCACTTAAAAAGCCATGACTAGCGTCATTACCTGATTCCATATGTACACAAAATTTATTAATTCTTTCAGGGCCTATGTATAAGCTGTGTTAATGTAAAGGGATATCATGCTTCTGCTTGGGTTCCATTCCCAAGCTGCCTCATTTTTATAGATGCTATATACAAATTAAATAGGATCCTGGGTAAGACGTTAAACTACATCCAGCAGCAAGGCCTCTGATCAGGAGGTTTTGAGGAGCGTGGAACCACCTCTTAATTGCTGGTGTTCCCAGGTCCATCCTGACCCGGGGTGGTAGCACCTGTTAGGGTCCCAGCTATGGGCAAATAGTTAACTATTACCAGCAATACAATTTTGAAGGAAATATATTACCAGAAACAGATTTTTGACAAAACAAAATATTACCAGCAAGAAAAATTTTTGTCAGCATTAAATAACTCATTGAGGTTGATATGCCGTAAAACAAACTAAACCAAACATACAAATTAAATAGTCTGTATTCCAAAAGCTGAAAATTCTTAAAACCAAATTACTTCCAGTCCCAAGAATTTCAGTTAAAGGATTCTCAATCTGTATTGTAAAATATAAAATTTGCTATTACTTGTAAACTTTCAACTTGTACTTACTAAACGTAGTAAGTGAATACACAGTGATTGCCCACCAACTTTATCAGTTGTTTGAGTTACCCATGGCCAACCTCAGATATAAATTATTCATTAGTTTTAATTACCAATCATCTTAAGGTACAAGAATTTTGATGCTGGCATTTTGGATAGGCCAAAGAGACAGCATCAAGAGATTCGTTTAAGGAAAATGGTGACAGTTCTTGACTTGTTAATTAAAAACAAGGTTATCAAAACCAAATATCATGAAAACTCACAAAAGGGGTCTTGTTTCATCAGGACAATGCTCCAGCACACAAGTTCTTGGTTTCAATGGCTGCGATACATGATTGTGGCTTTGAACTGGTTAATCACTCCTATCTATTCTCCTGATTTGATTATTATCTCTTCCCTAACATAAAAAAAAGACTTGGCTAGGAACCAGTATCACAGTGATGATGATGATGTCATATCTGCTGTTGATGACTATTTTTGACCAACAGGATGAACTCTCTTTGAACAGTCAGATATCACTTTATTTGGAAAGTAACAATGCAGTTAATAATAAGAGTTGAAATTAATGCATGCAAGATTTCACAGCTCTAGCATCCTTCCTTCATAGTCAGCCTATGAATTTGTCAGCCCAACCTGGTACTTGGAAAGAAACAATGCAGTTATTAATAAGAAGAATTGAAATTAATGCATGCAAAATTTCACATGCAAGTCAGCCTATGAACTTTTCAGCCTACCCTCAATATAAACAATTGATAAGTTTTGTTTGAGCATTTCACCCCAAGCAAGGCGGGAAGGCACTAGGACGCAAGGGGTTACAGAAAATTTGGAGCAAGATCAGATAGGAGTGATAGAAGAAAGGATGAGGAGAAGGGTAGTGGATAGATCAAGGCAACTGGAGATGTCGATTGACATTACATTTGAATAGCTGGAGATTATAGCTCTCAGGGAAACTGGAATAGGGAAGGGAGTTCCACAGGCGAGAGGTGCAAGACATAAAGCTATTGGAGTAGAAGAGACAGCTACATTTAGGAGTTTCGACAGTGAAAGGTTGAGAGCGGGTCGCCAGCCTCGTAGGGCGCTTGAACTCATGAAGTCTGGGAACCAGTGAATGCAGCTCCTTGGAGCAATTGCCATGAAAGTATTTGTAAAACAAAGAGAGGCGATGGCGTGTCTGTGAGAAAGTGACTGTACACAAGATGCCAGATCAGGGCCAATTATATTGCATATCCGCCTCTGGAGCCTATCAAGAACCCCGAGGCAAACAGAAGGGGCTCCAGACCATATATGGCAGCAATACTCCATGCAAGGGCGAATTGTTGATTTGTAGATCTGGAAGATTGATTCTGGGAAAAATTTCCTGGCACAGCACAGGGAGCCAACTTTCCTTGTGGTGGACAAAGCAATTGACTCAATGTATTTGTTCCATCTCGGGTCAGCCGTCAACGTGAGACCGAGCAGCTGCAGAGAGTTGCTCTCAAGAAGTTAAGTGTCAGACATTCTAATGGAGGGCAGGGAAGGATCTCTGTGGTGATTAATAGAAAGCAGTTTTGTTTTTGAAGCATTAAAGTTGACCAGCCAATTCCTGCCCCAGTTCACAACCGATTGGAGGTCCTTTTCAAGACACACGGCCAGGTTAGTTTTGTCAGTGACACTAGATTTGTTTTTGAGGCAGGAATAAATTGTGGTGTCATCCGCGTAGATGCCAACTTGGGAATTTATGGTGTCAGGAAGGTCATTTATGTAGATAAGGAATAGAGTGGGACCTAGGATGGAGCCTTGAGGAACACCTGCATTCATGGGATATTGGTTCCAAATTACAAAAGTTGCATCCGTGTCCTCTTTCTTGGATCACAGTGTCATTCCTTGGAATATCTCCATATGCTCTGTGAATAGTGTAACACATACCTATAAAATATGAACAGTTCATTTTAGATCAGTAATGCTCTGAGTCAGGTTTTTTTTTTTTTTTTTTTTTAAATGCTAACATCCTTCAAGATGAAAATGATCATTTATTAAATTTTATATAAACCTACCTTCAGGGTATATGTTATTTATATAAAACTATCTTCAGGGCCTATGTATAAGCTGTGTTATGAAATGTAAAGGGATAGTGTGTTTATGCTTGGATTTCAGCCTCAAGGTGCCCCATTTTATAGATGCTATATACCAATTAAATACCCTGTATTTTTTTTTTTTTTTAAATACTATCTTCCTTCAAGAAGGAAAGTAATTGTGGCATTCCAGAGATACCTTTTATCTGTAAATTGCCATGTGTTCTTGAGAAAGACATTGGAGTTATTTCTTGCTACATTCTCCATGGTTTTGAATTTAGACTTGTCTTTCTTCTATTATGGCATAGGTGGTCATGGCTCTCCACAGATTCCACTTGTTTTATTACATGTAAATTTCCATGTGTTCTTGAAAAAAACAGTGGAGTGATTTCCTGTTAATTTCTCTATGATTTTTAATTCATTTTTTCCCCTATTTTAAACTGGTTGCCACCCAAGGCAAGAAAACACAGTCTTCCCTACTAAGGTGTTGGGAGGAGAGCTGTAATTCAAGCCTTTCCCAAGTGCATTTGTGCAAAAGTAATCCAACTTTGCTCACCAATTCCTCTTTCCACATTGTTAAGTTACACTACCAGCATATTGCAATTTAATAGACACACTGAACTTAAAATTAGATACCAAATTTCTTATTCAAGGCACTGTTATTAAGGTTTGACCAGTTTTTTTCGTTATTTTTATTGCAACGTTCAGGCCCTCTTAAGTGATGTAGATAAAGTAGCCTTTAATGAAAATTAACATCTTTTATTCCATATTTTTTTTAGCTTGTTTGCCATGCACACCATTTTACTAGTAAGGCAGAAATCATTCAAATTGCCATATTAAGTAGCAGCGGAAAAATTAATCAGGTCAAGCGTGTTACTCATGGGTTTATACTCTCTCACCCTTTTTGTCCCTTTGAATGATTTTCTGATTCCCCACTTTTATTAAGACAGTTTATTGCATATTGGGATCATATCTGAAATCATGTCATCTGAAGTCTGTCCTGTTTGAATTGGGGCCTAAGACTATATATAATTTTAAATTCATGAAACAAAAATGGTATAACTTTTAATGGAAAAACTTAATAAAAGCAAATGTCTGGTTCTGTTTTAAAAGCAAATGAGCAAATTGCTGACAAGATGATTGTTTAAATTGGCCTGTTGTGTTTTACATCAGTACAGAATCATGAGTGATGCACTTGATGCTGTTTTTTTTGTTTTTTTTTTTTATTGTTCCATTCCTTCATCCTACAGGTTTCACAAATGAATGATACTAATGCTGAATTAAAGAAACAGATTTCAGAAGTGGAACTCAAACTGAAAGAGACAGAAAGTCAAAAGGAACAGCAGGTGAGATAATGTGTGCATGATCTTCTAAAGGGTGTTTCATTAAGACGGATTATATATAAGGGTGTTTCATTAAGACGGATTATATATAAGGGTGTTTCATTAAGACGGATTATATATAAGGGTGTTTCATTAAGACGGATTATATATAAGGGTGTTTCATTAAGACGGATTATATATAAGGGTGTTTCATTAAGACGGATTATATATAAGGGTGTTTCATTAAGACGGATTATATATAAGGGTGTTTCATTAAGACGGATTATATATAAGGGTGTTTCATTAAGACGGATTATATATAAGGGTGTTTCATTAAGACGGATTATATATAAGGGTGTTTCATTAAGATGGATCAAAGTCAATAGTAAATAAAGCAGTGTTATTCATGAAAATTTATTTATTTCTCTATTGGATCATATTATTTAAGTCATGGCAATTATGTGTGAAAAATAATATTGCCCAAATGTCCGCCAAATCTGAAAGAAAAAGAAAAAAAAATCATTAGACTCTTAAACTTAATTCACATTTAAAATCAGTCCAAGTTATTGGAACACCCTTTATTTGCACAATGTGGAATAGTTAATAATCAAAGTGATGAAAATATAAGCAAAAACAAGCTAATGAAATTGGCTAGATTATATACACAAAACATATTTTTATAAAAAAAAATGTATTTAAAATTCTTCACGTCCCCCTTTCATATGTGTGCATATGTAGTCACATCAACATAAACTTATTCTGATGAAGACCTGAAGGACAAAACATGTCTCACAGAAACTTTTTCTGCTTTGTCATACTTTTTTTTACCTAAAATTGTTCTTGATATATAAAAAAAATTATATATCATTTTCCCATATATATATATATATATATATATATATATATATATATATATAAAATGAAATGAATTAAGTCTGACAATTATTTTAACATATTTTCTGCTTATATGTTATTTTTATAGGTATAAATATTTAAGTAAATTCTCTGTTTATAATAAACTATTTACTAGATTTACTTGCCTTGAATGTCAGAAATTTCATAGAAAATATGCGTATACTGACAGGAATCAAACCTGTATCCTACACAGAACCATCATATAGGAAATTTGTTGTTTAAAAGCAGTAATTTGAATTTGCTAACCAGGTGCTTCCACTGTAGCTAAATAGTATAGCACGTCAGGCCAGATGAAAGGTCTGTGTAGAATACGGGTTTAATTCTTGTCAGAGGACACATATTTTCTATGAAATTTCTCAGACATTCAGGCCAATAAATGTAGTTAATACTACTTATTATAAACAGAGCATTTACTTAAATATTTGTATCTGTAAAAATAATGCATAAACAGAAAATATATTTATCAATCTTTTCACCCCAAGCAAGGCAATAAAGCCACTAATGTGTAATGGGTTACTGGGTGTTAGAGAATGAAAAAAAATACTGTTAAGGAAAGAGTATGATAAGAAAACAAGAATACAGAAAATAGCAATTGGCATTGCATTTAAATTTTTAAAGTTAAAAGTTGGCAAGAAAGCATGGAACTGAAAAAGAGTTCCACAAGTGAGACATGCAAGGGAAAAATTTGTTAGCATAGAACTTATGGCTACATCTAGCCATTTCAGTTGTAGAATGATGAGACCTTCCTGCCAATCTAGTACTGTCCTTAAATTCATAAAGTCCAGTTACCATAGAGGAAAGTTCATCTGAACAATTACCATGAAAGTATTTATAGAAAAGGCAATGTGAAGCTACGTTACAATAGTTGGAAAGTGAGTGATGCTGAGATGTCATGTCAGGGCAAATAACATTGCAAATTCTTCTTTTGAATTTTATCAAGTATCTGTAAATATATAGCAGGAGTACCAGACCAGATGTAGCAGCAATATCCAAAGCAAGGATGAATGGTAAACTTATAAATATGTAAGATAGATTCTGGTGAGAAAAATTCTTTAGCATGACACAGTAAATCAACTTTCCTAGCAGCAGAACCAGCATTTGATTCAATATAATCTTTCCCCTTCATGCCATCAGAAAACATTAATCAGAGAAGGTGCAATGAGTCATCTCATGGAGGTTAGCATCAGCCATGATGATGGCGGTTAAAAAGGATTCTCTCAGATGATTAAAAGAGAGCAGTTTTCATTGTGGCAGCGTTAAAATTAACAAACTATTCCTTGCCCTATTTAGCATCAGAATGTAGATTATTTTAGGGATCAGCTGTTAATTTCAGCTTTACTATTAAGACAGGAATAGTTGTCGTCAACATAGATACAAAGTTGAGAACTGATTCCATGTGGAAGATTGATGAAAATTAGGAACAACATAGATTCAAGGATAGAGCTCTGAGTGACACCTAAATTAGTACAAAAAGATCTAGAAGAGTGGCCATTCAAGACAACTTTCATTTCGCGATTTGTTATGATAGACTGAATCAATTCAAAAATTTGTCTGGACTTATAACCTTTCAACTTGGGAAGAAGACCAGTATGCCAAACTCTGTCAAATGCCTTAGTGATATCCAAACCAACAGCCTGAGCTTCATCATTTTTATCTAAAGCTTAATAGACACGGCAATAACCATTAACACATCTTGACCTAGAGATGCAAAAGTCATATTGCTTATCTGAAAGAAGACCCTGCAAAGTGAGATGCTTAACCAATTCAAAGTTAATTAGAGCCTGTAGTAATTTGCCAAAAAAGTGGTAGAAAGGTATTAGACATTTTTTTTTAATTTAACTTCTCCTCGTTTTTAAAAAAATTAACTTTTAACTTTTCCGTTTTTTTAAAAAAAGTAAACTTTTCCCCGTTTTTTAGAAAAAAGTAAACTTTTCCCCGTTTTTTTAAAAAATTTTACCTATCTTTTAATTTTCAATCTTTCTTTTTTAAATGTTTCCTCCCTTTTTTTAAAAAAAAAAAAATCACTTTTTTTGTTTTAAATTTAACTTTCACCTCTACTTTTATTTTTTTCAGCTTTTCTATTTTCGCATGTATTTTGCTAAAACAAAAGTATGAAACTCTCCTTGCAGAATTAAAATCCGTTTGTCAAGCTTTTGTTTTTGCATGTTTCATTGCCAGTGACCGTTATGATACTTATGTCTTTAGCATTAAACGTGAAAATATTTGTTTGTTGCAGGCAGCAGAAAGTGCAACTCGTCAGGAAGAATTGCAGCAAAAGTTACAGCAGGCAGAGACCAACACAACAGAACTTGGAAATAAATTAAAGGTACTTAAGATTCTTTGAGTAAAATATTTGACTTAAGGTACTTTGATTAAAAAATATTTGACAGCATTTATGGTCTATAAGAGAAAACAACTTGAGCTTGTTCAACTCTATGATTTGGTAACATCTATAGTTAAAAATATTTTGAAGCTACTGCCATGATTTTGTTGATCTCTCAGAGTTCTTTGATTCTGTTTCAAACTGTAATTTAGATATTTATAAATGAATTCATTGAACCAACTTTGATTTTCATGCAATCAATGGATATTTTTTTTAATCTGACACATTAAGAAATAATGATTTAACTTTCTTTTATGGTAAATGATGTGGGTAGGGTGGTTTTAAGTCCAACATCTTTTCAAAGTAAATAGCTGTGTGAGTAAAGATAGATATCTAGAATCTTCAAGAAAATTATTTTACATATTTACATTTAGAGTTTATGTGTATATTTTGAGATTTCTTTTTTGCAGTTAGTATGAAGTAAGTAGGCTATGAACATATATGATGAAAAAATTAATGAAAACAGTTTTATTGTCAAAATCTGTTAATATTACAAGGAAAAACCAAAAGATTTTTTGATTATTAAATTATAATTTTTAATATTTTTTCGAGCCTTCAAAATTTTGGTTAGTGTAGTTTCATTTTGAACTATTAAAATTAATTAATTTTCTAATATTTATTAAAGAGAAAGAACAAGAATTAAAAAGACAGACGATAACGATTGACATTGCATTTAAATTTTTGAAGATCAAAGTTGACTGGGTAGCAAAAAACCTGAAGAGTTCCACAAGCGAAATGTGCGAGAGAAATAGCTATCAGCATAAAACTTATGGTTCCACCTAGCCATTTCAAATGTAAAATGATGAAACCTTGCCGCAAATCTAGTCTTCTTTTATGTGTCGTGTTCCTTCAGAACATAGGTGATCATGGCTCTCCACTTCCCCCTACATGATTTCTAAAGTTTTCCATCACCCAAAAGTCCACGGTCTTCTAGGTGGCTTTCTTTTCAACCTATAGCAGTATTAATTTTCTGTCCAGAACAGCATCATTCCAACATAATACGAAATGAATACAAAAAGTTCTCTGTTTTGCAATTACAGATTCACCAGTTTTTTTTTTCTTTTAAAATCATTTCACCCCAAGCAAGGCAATAAAGCCACTAAGATGCAAGATGTTACTGAGTGTTATGGAATATGAGAATCACTACTATTAAGGAGAGAAGACAATAAAAGAATTAAGAAGACAGATGATAACGATTGACATTGCATTTAAATTTCTTAAGATCAAAGTTGGCTGGGAAGCAAAAAATCCTGAAGAGTTCCACAAGTGAGAAGTATGAGAAGAAAATGCTAACATTGCGCTTACATATTGCTCACTCAACTGTAAATTGATGAGCCTTACTGATTCTATTTATAAAACCTGTCTTTGTAATGTAAGTCTTCAGAACCCCAGTTAATGTTTGAATCAGTTTTTTATTTGAAATATAATTGTCTCGAATGTTCCTAAATACAGGTGATGAGTATTTTCTATTTTGAAATGCTGGTTTTATTTATCAGAGATTGCATCAATAGTTTTCTTCATTTGCCATATAATTATTAATGGATCCTTAGGTAGATTCAGTATATTCTTGGAATTTTGGAAACAATACAGAAATATTTTAAAATTAGCATTCCAAGAAATATTGAGTAATAGCATGTACTTTAAACCCTTTAGCTTTCAACACGCTCAAACCCGCCTGTAAATATCAGTTGTCAAAGTCTCACTTTTCATGGTCAAAGCCTCCCTGTTTGCATGACTTATTATTTGCAATGTCATCATACATTATGGCAGAGTATACATGGGGCTGATTGAACATTGAGAGGTAATATTTATGGGGTGTGTTGAATGCTAAAGAGTAAAATGAATACTTACATAGAGTCTACACTTTTTTGATTAGGGTAAGAGTCATTGTCCTTACCCCAAGGCACTTTCAAATGTTCTATCAGCAGCTGCATTAGAATACCAAAATCATAAAACAATGCTTAAGGAAAAAAAATATTTTTAATAATATAAACAGAAACCAAGTCTTCCATGAGAAAATTTGGGAAACCTACAAAGAAAAGGTCAAGTTATATACTACCTATATCTGTAAATTTTATCACACACCCCACCAAAAAGAGCTTAACTCGGTACCCTCTCAAACAACCAGTGATCAACAAGGCAGGATGTATCAAACACTATTTTTACATATTAACAATGAACACGGAAGATTTGAATATTGATGGTCAAAGGAGAAAAGCAGAGTTCAAGAAATTAAGAAAGAAAAAAAGATCTGATTCAGACGGAAGTATTTAACAGAAAAATGCAAATGAAACAAACATAAATAAACATGGGTACTATGTGAATTATAATAAAAAAGAAAAAATAAACCTAACATAACTAATGTTATGTTTAACCCTTTAGTATTCAACACATTCAAACCTGCCCCATAAATATCAGCTCTCAAAGTCTCATTGCATGATTTGCAATCATGTTGTCATATATTATGGCAGGTTGAACATTGAAAGCCAATATTTACTGGGTGGGTTGAATGCTAAAGGGTTAAATGAATACTTACAAAGAGTCTACACTCTTTTGATTAGGATAAGAATCATCGTCCTTTTTGGCCAGGTACTTTAAGGCACTTTCAAATGTTCCACCAGCAGCTGCATTAGAAAATAAGTCATTGTAGTGATACTGGCAAATTAATATGCCTAATTTGCATAAGTGCAAGGAAAGCCTATATAACTCGTCACTGAGAATAATGTAGGAGGACAAGCTTAGTGACTGACTAGTGCTAAACTCCTACTTCACATCAGTCATAAAACAATGCTTAACCCTAGAACACTAATCATCAATTAAAGTTACGCCACTACTAAACATGGGTATATCATACCCGATTTTGAAAATATCAAAAAAAATATTAAATATAAATCTTTATTTGAAATATTTTACATGCAGGCGCTTCAAACTTTAACATTAATAGAAACTGAAAAACATATTATTTAGGTAAGAAAATCAGGTACTGAAAATTGTAATTAAAAATAGGATTTACACTGGGTGCTATATACCTATAGTTAGTGTTCTATGGTTAATGAAAAAGAAAAAAAAAAGTAAGTTTTAATGATATAAAGTGACAGCAAGACCTCCATGAGAAAATTGGGGAGACCTACAAAAGAAGATAAAGTTATATCCTACCTATATCTCTAAATTTTATCACCTCAGAAAAGTGTTGGGTGGAACTACTTCTAGCACAGCCTGAATTTGTATAAATATTACCGCTTTGTCTTCAGTGTATTAAATTACTCAAGATTTTTTTTTCTATTTGCAACAAAACTAATTTATCTTTTAAAAGTATGAAGAAGACATTTGTAGAATGTTGATTTTAGCACAAAAAATAAGTGTCATATTCTGTATAATAAACTATTTTGTCATTAATCTATGAGTTACAATGTAGGTATTAAGGCATACATTAGCCCTTTAACATTCAACACATAAAAACCTGCCCTGTAAATAATGGCTCTCAAAATCTCACTGTTTGTGGCCAAAGTCTCACTGCATGACTTCCTGTGTTGTTTGCAATGATGTTGTCATATCTTATAGCAGAGAAGGGTCAAGAGATTCATTAGAATCTTCATCAGTCCCATGACTCCAGGTGTGGTTCTAGTGTTGCCGAGAGCCCCAGACCTGCTCCTTTCATATGTCTTGGTTGCACGGTAATGTCCGAGTCTCTGTGAATGCTCTTCCAGTTCACTCAGTGATGTCATCAGACTATTTTTTTCCTCTGTCTGCCTCTTCTTCTTTTGCCTAAGGTGGTGCAGGTTATGGTAGATTAATTATTGAGAGCCGATGTTTATGGGGGACATTGAATGCTGAAGGGTTAAAGAAAAGCTATTTTTGAATTTCATAACACTTGTTGTGTTTGGGTTCTTTTTTTTTTTTTTTTCTTTTCCTAATGTTATTTTGGCCATTATTGTTTAGAACGTTCCTTTCAAGTGAGACATACTGTCAAATTTCAGGCTGAACAGTATTGTCACTAAGGATCAGTTAATTTTTGTTTTTCTTCTTCAGGGTGCTGAAGAATCTATATCCCATGTAAATGACAAATTGAAGAACAAAGAAGAGGAGTTATACGATGTGCAGTCCAAGTTGTCATTGACAGAACAACAGTTGGAGAAATCTCAGCAACGAGAGGAAGACCTGAAGACAAGCATTGATCAACTAAAAGAGGCAAGAGACTTGCTTTCATTCATTCATTCATTAGAATCATCATCATCATCATCATCAGTCCCCTGACCCCGGGTGTGGTCATAGTGTTGCTGAGCCCCTGACCTGCTCCATTCATATGTCTTGGTTGCATGCCAATGTCCGACTCTCTGCTGATGCTCTTCCAGTTCACTCACTGATGTCATCAGACTATTTTTAATAAAATTACCATTAACAGAACAACAGTTGTAGAAATCTCAGTAACAAGAGGAAGACCTGAAGACAAGCATTGATCAACTAAGAGGCAAGAGATTCATTAGAATCTTCATCATCAGTCCCATGACTCCAGGTGTGGTTCTAGTGTTGCTGAGTCCCTGACCTGCTCCTTTAATATATCTTAATTACATGGTAATGTCCGAGTCTCTGTGAATGTGCTTCCAGTTCACTCACTGATGTCATCAGACTATTTTTGCCTGTCTGCTGCTGCTGCTGCTTCTTTTTGCCTAAGATGGTGCCTTGTAGGATGGCAGGGGAAAGATTGTTCAAATAAGATGTTGGACATCCAAATCAGAATTGCAGATAAACACGTTCCTATGAATGTGTTGAATCGTATTAAGATATAGTGGATCCGTTGTACTTTATGATGACTCTTTTTTAGTTGACCAATGCAAGAGACTTTTTTTTATTCATCCATTAGAAATATCATCAGTCCCATGACTCTAGGTGTGGTCATAGTGTTGCTGAGCCCCTGACCAGCTCCCTTCATATGTCTTGGTTGCATGTCAGTGTTCCAAGTCTCTTTTGATGTTCTTCCAGTTCACTCAGTGACGTCATCAGCCTATTTTTTCCTCTTTTCTGTTTCTTCTTCTTTTTGCCTAAGGTGGGAAAGATTGTTCAAATAAGATGTTGGACATCCAAATCAGAATTGCGAATAAACACATTCCTATCAATGTTTTAGTGGATTCAATGGTACTGACATAGTTTTAATGTATCATCTTGAAGAGGAAATGTCCATAGAATAGTTTAAAGACACAAAATAATATTCAAAAATGTTTAAGTCAAAGGTAAGAGAGTTCGTTGTTCACGGAAGGGTTATATACTGTTGTATACGTTCAAAAGAGATAGTGTGAAATATTTTTAGCAACTCTCTCAATTCATGTTTTGATGTATATGTTATTGTTGTATATAAAAATATCTTTAAACTATTCAATTGTCTCTTACTTGTCATCTGCCCAACTTGATGTGGAACTTATTTAAAATCCCATATTATTCGCAGATTCAAACACAAACAATTGCTCTTTTTATACTTGACTTATAGTAGTGTGTGGCTTCATAGTTAAAATGAGCAGTTGATTTAGCAACACCAAGTAGATTAATGATGGAGGATAATGATGAGGAAAAACACGGGTAACTTTAACAAAACAAGATGAGGAATTTATTTACGAATTTACATACTTGAATTTGTGTCAGTGGCTCGTTTCAGGAAAATAAATCAGACATTTTTAAAGTCCATAGTTTTAATGTATCGTCTTGAAGAGGAAATGTTCATACAACAGGTTAAACGATCTGACACAATATTCAAAAATGTTTAAAACAAATGTAAGATAGTTTGTTGTTCACTGAAGGGATATACATAGGCATACATGCAGAACTAGACGGTGGGGAGATAGTTTGAAATACTTGGCTTTCTTGGATTGTTGAGAGAAAGTTCTTTGAGGTACCATGTACTTGGTTAAAGGCCGATAATATAATTTGTGGATAATTTTACAGTAGCAAGAACTTGAATGTTGCTCACTGGTTGCAAAGAACCTAAATGAAATATTTCACATGACTTCAGATACTCTTCTCTCATTAATTTTCCTTCTCATTTTATATCAAAAAGAATTTTGCATAAGCTTACTACTTTCATGTCTTTCTTCTTCTTGGCTCAACAGATAATTTCTGTGAAGGCAAGGTTTTCATTGGTCCAAAGAAAATTTCACATATGCTCACGAATTCCTTTCCATCTTTTTCCACAGCTCACCTAAGTGGGTAAAAGGAGTTATTATTATTTCTCACTCACTACAGCTCTTCTGTTGCCTCACGTGATACCTTTTAGAATGACGGTTGCAAGATTTTTGGCTCTTAAGTGCCCATACAATTTCAACTTCCTCTTCTTGACGGTAGACATGGGATCTTCCAGCAGGCATGTTTTGTGCTATTATCCACAATGACAAAAGCATGTTCCCAGCATGTCAGGAATCACTCCTAAATGACACAAACATTTTGGAATGCTGTTAAACTAAATTAGGTTTGGTTGTTTACTAATTTGAAATAGTTGACTACTTCCTAATTCTTTATTTTAAATGCAATATTATTTCTCAAACACTCTAATATTATTAATGCTGGTTATTTTCAGGAAATCTCTACTCTGTTGGAAGCAAAACAATTACTCATCAACCAAAAACTAGAACTACAATCAAAAATCACTGTGTTAGAAACACAAGTGACCAATGTAAGTATTAGCATTTTTTATTTACTTATGTATTTTTTAACCTTATACCTGGCATATTATTTTGGAGTTATGAAAGATTGGGGGTTGCTTTTTTCTTTTTTTTTTTTTTTTTTTTACCTGCCAACTTGAAAATGCCTTAGAGTCCCAAATAACAGCTTACATTGTTTGAAACTTTGCAGGATTATTGTTTTACCTTTTATCTTAAATTTTCATAGTTCCTATTGACGTCATCAAACACAAGAGTTTGGAAAATCAGTAAATTTTTCAATGCAATAACATCATTTCCCCATACAAAGAATTCCTGCTGAATGTACTGAAGTCATAAAATACCAGTGTTGGAAGGCCATATGTAATTTTTTAAAATTACAAAAATATCCTCACATCAGCAAAAATATGCTGATTTCAGCAAAGCCTAAAACAAAAGGAGTAGTCTCATCCTTTTACAGTTGAATTGGCTAGATGTAACCATAAGTTCTTTGCTAACAGTTTCTTTTCTCGCACTTCTCACCTGTGGAACTTTCTTGTAGCTTCTTGCCTTCCAGCCAAATTTGATCTTCAAAAATTTAAATGCAATGTTAATTGTTATCTATTGTCATCTTCCCCTTCTTTTATTCTTCTTGATCCTTAACATTTTCTTTTTCTCTCATTCATTAACACTTAATAATCCCTTGTATTTTAGTGGCTTTATTCCCCTGCTTGGGGTGAAATGATTAGAAAAAAAAAACACTATATTCACAATTACCTTTCGAATAACAAATAAGATTTTTCCCAACAGACCTGTGCAAACGTATTTACACACGAACATATACATAAAAACACAAAATCACATGTACAATGCCAAACAATCATTGGCTAATAAATCACTAATACATTTTCTACAGGCAATTCACAAATTGCAGTAATGCGACAATTTTGGAATCGCTTTATTTTTAAGTAGTCAAATTTGTGCACTTTTGGGAGAAGCAGATCACCGAAGCTTCCTTAAGTCTCCCCAAAGTTCGCTCGCTGATTGATTGATGCCAACCAATCAGATCGTTTACAAGTGAAGAATGATTTTGTTTAAGCCAAGATTTTTCTCATCTCAATTAGTGAGACCTCAACTGCTAAATGAATCCAAAACAGTTGGAACCACGCGCCAACCTTCTCACTGACACGTACACCTACATGCTGATGATAATTTGTACACCTTCATTAAAAACTTCTTTTGACACAACAATACTTTTCAACAGTAATAACACTCATGAACATTTATCCAGTGAACTTTAAACCAAATAATTATCTCTCCCTGAACTCTTAAATTGCAATCAAAGGGAGGCAACTCTTGATTGCTTCAACCTTTCTTACTTAAATGCATGTTTTCTTTCAGATCGTTGTTTGATATTGTATCAGGTCATCCCATAAGTTCTGTCCGAATTTTAACTTTGTGTTAAAATGAAAAAAATTTAAAGAGTATTTTATAATGTCTAATGAAGCTGAACATTATTTTTATGTTTAGATGCAATTAAACGTATCAAATTTTATTTCAGAGAACAATAAAATTAAATTTTGTTTGATTAAAACCCTGCTAACATGGAAATACCCAGGGATCATTTGAGGCACATAATGCTTTATGAGTTCAAGAAAGTAAACTCAGCAGCCGAAGTGGCTAGAAACATTCACTCAGTTTATGGAGAGGAATGTGTGAATAAAAGAACTTGCAGAAGATGGTTTGCAAAATTCAGAGGTGGAGATTTCACCCTTGAAGATGAAGATCGAACCGGACATCCAGTTGAGTTTGATGAAAAGCTTCTTGAAGCAGCCCTTGAAGAAAATCCTACTTTATCAGTTGAGGAATTGGCAGTGGTTCTCAGTTCAAACCATACAACTGTTCATCATCTTCAACAACTTGGAAAAGTTCCTAAACTTGGAAAATGTGTGCCTCATGAATTGTCTGAAAACAACCTCAAATCCCGAGTTTACATCTGCTCTTCTCTCCATTCTCGCCAACTTGTTTCACCTTTTTTGGATAGACTTGTGACTGGCGACAAAAAATGGATCTTTTATCGAAATTTTAAGCGTCGTAGACAGTGGCTTGGTAAAAGGGAAGGGCCACAGCCAAGAAGGGAACTTCATGGGCAAAAGGTTCTTTCAATCTGGTGGGATCGCCAAGGAATAATCCACTTTGAATTCTTACCACCTAATGCAACAATTAATGCTCAAATATACTGTCAGCAATTAGTGTTTGAACCAAGCTTTGAAGGAAAAAAGACCTGCTCTAGTGAATTGAAAAGAGATGATGTTTCATCAGGACAATGCGTGACCCGACACAGCAAGAATCACATCACAAAAGATCGAAGAACTTGGTTTGGAGAAAATTCCTCATCCATCTTATTCTCCCGATCTTGCTCCTTCAGACTACCATTCGTTTCGTAGCTTACAGAATCATTTGGAAAAAACAGCTTTTGTAACACAGGAAGAGATTAAAACTGACATTTGTGAGTTCTTCGAATCAAAGCCAAAAGAATTTTACAGTAATGGAATTAGTAAGCTTGTTAATAGATGGAAGGAAGTCATAGATAATCAGTGAAAATACATTGTTGATTGAATCTGTAATTAAATGTAACATTTGGTCACTTGTTTTCTTTATTCAGAATTCAGACAGAACTTATGGGATGACCTGATACATCTTGTTAATATACATATATTTTATGTGCAACAATGTCTTTTGGTTATTCTTGAGTGAGTCCTGTTTTCTTATCAAAGTTAAATTAATGTAGTGAAGTCCACCAGGGTCTCTTTTCAGTCACACATCTGGAGTTTCAAATCAATACCCCAACCACAAAAGAAACCAAATCAATTTGAAATTTGTACTCGAACAAAAAGCTCCCTATTGCCTTGGATAGGGTTAAATGCTATGTCTTTGCCAAACATTGGTGATCGTCTTCTACAGATTTCTTCATTTTATTACTTGTGAATTGTCATGATTTTGTGCAAATGAAAGTGAAGTGGTTTCCTATTGCCTTCTTTATGGTTTTGAATTCAAAGTTCTCATTCTCTTAGACCATAGAGAGACTAGGGCAATGTTTAACCTTCGTAGTCACAAAAATTTGTTGTGTCAAAAGGACATTTATTCTTTTGACACCTCTATTACTGTATACACTTTTGACTCCCTCAGCAAAGTTTATTTACAAGATGATAAAAATATGTGAGTATTTACATTAGTCGGACTATTGTCCTCATCTTTGTCGCCATATTTGTCACAACGTTTCGGCCGTTGTACGCTCCGGCCTTCTTCAGGTGGTTGGAATTTCGAACTGAACCCTTTATTTCGATTTAGACTTTTCTAGTTCCACGTGCCATGTTTGATGGATGTCAGTTATCAGTTATCTCCTGCTAATTTTCCCTCTGAAAGTTCTCCACTGCCTTAACCAGGAATTGAACTCACCTTCTTTGGGTCTGTCACTGGATCTAACCAACGCCTTTATTCACTGTGCCATGAGGACATCTGGGTATGAACTTCTGAGTATTATAAACCTAATGTTTTTCAGCATCATTTTTTACCAGTGCTCATATTGCAATTTTTTGCTGTTATCATTGCATGTCTTTACCAGAGTTCATATTACAACTTTGTTATCATTGCTTTTCTCTGGCACTCCTTATTACTGGTTCCCATATTGTATTTATTTCTATGCTTGGTTTTAACTCGGGAGATTTTTTGTGGCCTAGCATATGTGCTGATTCCTTAAGTTCTGAATTTTCAATGGTGTTCCCTGTCTATGATCTCAACATGATCCCACAGGGGGCAGTGATCTCCTTCTCTCTCCATATGTGGTCAGCCACGCCTGATTTTTCTACTTCCCCTCGCGTTACAGCTTTCTGGTGTTCTTGAATCCTTACCACCTGAAGAAGGCCGGAGCGTACAACGGCCGAAACGTTGTGACAAATATGGCGACAAAGATGAGGACAATAGTCCGACTAATGTAAATACTGTACATAATACCTCATCTCAGAAATATAGACAGACTCCAAAAATATGTGAACAGAATACAATGTGATATTTATTATTTACCTTTTATAAAGGTGTATTTATTTCTTTTCTTTTAATCATTTAAGCAAAGCAGGCATGCAACTAGTATGCAGGGGTTTACAAACAATGAAATTTAGAGAAAAGATTGAGTATGGGGGAGAATTGAGGAAAGGACAAAAAATGAATGGGTTTCAAGAAGATAGATGACGATTGACATTGCATTTAAATTTTTGAAGATTGTAGTTAACAGGGAAACGAGTAAACAGGGGAGTTCCACAGGCGAGAAATGTGAGAAAAGAAACTGTTAGAATAGAAGTGGTGGTTGCATTTAACTATTTCAACAATAAAAGTGTGGGATCTAGCTGCCAATCTAGTAGCATGTCTAAATTCATGTATTTGGGGCACCAGGAAAAAAAGTTCAATATTTGTTATTTACCATTTTTACAAAGAACTATAAATGCATGTTTTTTTTTTATTTGTTGTTTTATAAATAAATGGGAACTATAGAACAAGTATTTCATTATAGTTAGTTCACATATTTTTATAATCTTGTAAATAAGCAGTCTAATAAATACTGTTTAACATCTTTGTTGTCAGTTCTCTAATCATTGCAAACATTTCCAAGAGAGTCAAAAGTATATGCAGTAATAGTGGTGTTAAGGGAATAACCATCTTTTTGATACAGCATTCTTTGTTTTTTTTTTTTTCCCAAGCACAAAGGTTAAACATTGCCTAATCCAGTTTACCCTTCTATTTAGCCCATAACTGGAAAGAGAAGAATTGGATTCATGCCTTTCCCATGGGCATTTGCTTGAAATTGAATGCAACAAACAAGGCCAGAATTTGTTCTCAGCTCACAGTCCATTACTGCTACACTACCCACATATTTCCTTATCCAAAATCTTTTTGAATATGTTCTTCATATATAATAAATTTTCTTTTTCCTTTTGAAATTTGTATTCCATCTATATTGTAATGATTTGATTTCTGTATATTTGTTCCTGTAACATAGCAAGAATAGCATGCCTTAGTGCTCTTTCTGTTAGAGCATTTTAACAGTATTGTGCTAAATTGAAGAATAAATAATTGGATCACTAATTGATCATGGAATAAATTTTAATTAAGTAAAATTAGGCTACCACCACCCACCCGCCAAAAAGAAAATATGTCTAAGGGTGATAACTCTGTTTATTCACTGTAACAGTAATTTCTCTGAGTTTACTTAATAAGAAAATAAGTCAAAAAAGATCATTGATCTGTCTGTTCTCCGTCCATCAGCCATCAGTTTACATCCACATCACGTTGAAACACCATAGGATCACTGAAGTTGAGCAATATTGAGTCTGGTCAGTACCTAGATGGGTGACTGCTCGGGAATACCATGGGCTGTAAGTTTGGGTGTGCAGTTGATGTAATGGATAATGGCTTAGAATTGTTAATCAGAAAGCAGAGTTCCACTTCCAGTTGAATTCATTATATTAACTTATGCACAAATACCCTTGGGAAAGGTATGAAGCCACCTCTTCTACCCCCTGCTAGGGGTTAATTAGTAAGATTTGTATCACTAAATCATTATTATCTCCAGAAAAAAAAAATTCTTACTCTAAAAATATTTTCTGGCTTTAAATAACTTGCAAAGAGTTGATAAACCATAGAAAATGAATCGATCAATCAAATCCATCAGCCATAGTGGCATACCAAATACAGTACTTTAATTATAATTAAGCTTAATGTTAATTAGCATTAACATTTAATAATTAAAATTATAATGAATTTAATCTTCTTCAAATGTCTCCAACAGACACAAGAACAACTGAATGAGTTACGTGAAAATGCAGCTACGTTACAAACGTCTCTAGAAAACACAAATGCAGATCTAAAGGCCCAACTGGTGAGTATCTGATTTGCTTTACTCTTTCTAACTCTAGTCGATCTCTGCTCACTTTTTTTTTTTTTTTCATTAATTTTTCTCAAATATCTGTAGGGATTTAAGTATGTGAAAGCAAAGAAAATAAACGGTCTTCAGCCATGGCTCCGCCAATTTAAATAAAATTGATTATTGATTATTTTCTTTCAAATTGAAAGAAGCCAATTACAAAGAATCTTTGTGAAACAAAGTCCCACAAAAATATTTATTTTTCTTTCTTTCCAATACAACTGAATCAGTTGTGTTAGTATGACAGAAGAAACAGATGGGGTGGTAGCACTTGTTAGGGTCCAAGCTATGGGCAAATAGTGAACATCTGAACTGGAGTCAAAACAATTACCATCAATACATTTTTGAAAAAAAATAAAATTACCAGAACTTCCTTTCAAAATTTCAGCATTAAATGACCCATAAGGAGTTGATATGCTGTTAAACAAAGCAAACCTAGAAGAAACAGAATATGTCTACATCAGGAGAGTGTAACTTATTTATGTTGTTTTATGAATGTAGCTTTTGTAATAAAGTATACTCAAATAAATATGCGAAAGGTTTTGAGAATTCAGCTTGTCGACACAATGAACTGACCCTGGTCAAAGGTTTATAGAAGAACTGAATATTTATATGAAATAAATAGGTTTCAGAAATCTAAAAGATTTTACTAAACTCATAGTTTATTGGTTAATGAATATTTTTCCAATTTCTAAATATCTATTTTTAAACCTTTTAAGTCCTGCGTTCCTGAATAATTTTAACCCTTCTGCCTGAGCTCCTGAGTCAAAATTTGTAAATAATTGGTATGTGATGTTTCAAGGTAGATATAAAAATAGTTACAAGTGTTTTCCCACCATTCAACAGGTGGCTAGGCATTAAGTCATTTTTCTCTACTACTGTTCAACTGGTGACTTCTTTCCTTTTTTGTTTTATACTTTTTTCCTTTTTTGTTTTGTTTTATACTTTTTTCCTTTTTTGTTTTGTTTTATGCTTTTTTCCTTTTTTGTTTTGTTTTATGCTTTTTTCTTTTTTTGTTTTGTTTTATGCTTTTTCCTTTTTTGTTTTGTTTTATGCTTTTTTCTTTTTTTGTTTTGTTTTATGCTTTTTTCTTTTTTTGTTTTGTATTATGCTTTTTTCCTTTTTTGTTTTGTATTATGCTTTTTTCCTTTTTTGTTTTATGCTTCTTTCCTTTTTTTATGCTTTTCTTTTTTGCCTTGTTTTATGCTTTTTTGTTTGTTCTAACTTTAAAATTTATAATTTCAGGCCAATAAAGAAATTTCCTACAAAGAACTGGAGAAAAAGTGTGAAGAGAATGAAACTCGTTATGAAATGCAGGCTTCTGTTCTAAATGAGAATCTAACGACCGTACGGGGAGATCTTGTTGTATGCCAACAATCCTTGGAGGACCGCACTGCAGCTAATGATGAACTTCTTGGACAAAAGTTAGGTAAGACAATCGTAGAGACCCAGTCAGATTAGCACTAAGCAGTATCATGCTTACTATTCACACATGTACAAGATTGTACAAACAAACCTTGCTGTGGATAATATGTACAAAGAAAGGATTTATATTCTCAAAACATTTTTTCAACTTTCAATGTTGTTCTTTGTTTTTGTTGGTTTTTTTTTTGGTTTTTTTTTTTTACAAACTTGGACTGTCGTGCCTGCAAAAATAAGTTTCGATAGTTCATTTTTTCCATGAACACGGCTTTTGTTGTTTTATAAAATGATGATTAAAATTATAATAAAACCTAAACATGTATGATGAAAGTGAATTTATACATTTTTGGGTTTTTGAGAATTTACAACAAAAATATCAAATACTACCTATTAAAATAATTTTAAATTTACAACATTCTAAAAACTAATACAATGCAATATTTATCATTTACCAATTTATAAAGAAATAAATCAAATCATCTCGGTGTTTTAAAAATGTTTTTCTAATTATAACACTAATTCAATGTGGGGATCAGTTTTTTACTTAACAACAATAGAAAAGCGACCCCTCATTTTATGTCCAGTAGAATCTTTTATTAATATTCATTTTTATTGTTATTAGGTTTTCACATATGAGTTTTTAAAGATATTTTCCAATTATTATAACTATGTAATAATTCCACAAGGGATCAGTTTATTACTTACTAACAATAGAAAACAGAACACTCACTTTATGTCCAGTAGAATTTTTTATTAATATTCAGCTTTACTGTTATTAGGTTTTCACATAAGTTTTTAAAAATATTTTCCATTTATTATAACTATATAATAATTCCACGAAGGATCAGTTTATTACTTACTAACAATAGAAAACAGAACCCTCACTTTATATCCTGTAGAATCTTCCATTAATATAAGTTTATCCATGCCATAAAAAAATGATTGTTTTCTTAAATTGGTTATTTTTTCCCCACAGTGTAGCTAAAATATCAAAATTGACACTTTCATATTTTTTATGTTATTATTGCAAAATTAAATAAAAGACCATCATTTGAAGGTCATTGAATGTTAAATACTTGCAATTTGCTTCTTTTTTTCTTTTTTTTTTTAATGTGTGCATGTTATGACATTTTGGTTGCTGTACACTTGGACCATCCTCAGGTAGCTGTATTATTTTCTAAAACTTGAACCTTGCTCTGATGTAACATTCCCAACAGCCCCTGCATCCTGATAAACTACATCCAACAGCTAGGCCTCTGATCAAGAGGTTTTGAGGAGCGTGGAAACAGCTCTTAATTGTTGGTGTTCCCAGGTCCGCCCTGACCCAGGGTGGTAGCACCTGTTATCCCAACTATAGGCAAATAGTTGACCCCATCCCCAAACTGGGGTTAATTCACTATGAAAGTTTGTAAAACTAGTAATGAATCTTTGAAGGTAAAATTATTACCAGCAATACATTTTTGGGAAAAAAAAAATATTACTAGCAATACTTTTCTTTTTTTTAAATATTACCAGCAGTACATTTCTGGAAAAAAAAAAGAACACCTGTTAAGGTCCCAGTTATGGACAAATAGTAAACACCCAAGCTGGGGTCAAAACACTGAAAGTGTAAAAATGTTTTAATACCAGCAATACATTTTTATAAAAAAATTATTGCCAGCAATACATTTTTGATGGAAAAAAGATATTAGTAGCAATACGTTTTTGAAAGAAAATATATTACCAGCAATAAAAAATCTTGTCAACATTAAATAACCCATTGAGGTTGATATGCCGTAAAACAAAACAAACTCATTCGTCCCCAACCATAACACAGGTACAAATCATGTGATCAGCAAACCAAGAATGTAGATCAATAAGTAACTAGTAGATTTCAGGTTTGAGGAAGGAACACTTGTAACCCAACAAAACAAGGTTCAATTTAAGAAAAAGTACCTGAAGACGGTTTAAGTGTATCATGACTTAAATATCACAAGAAAGCAACAATAAAAAATAAAAAAAAGATTCACTACAATGTGCTGGATACTTTGACTAAAAACGTTCAAATAAAAATCGCCATCAAGTTACCAATATATTTGTAGAGACTAAAGCATTACCTTCACAATTTTATAGGGTATTTTCAAAGTAATGTAGTTTTTTAGATAGAGATTGTCGACAAAAAGTGTATGATTAATATTATGTAAAAACAAAATAGCATTTAACAGTATTCAAAGTAAACCAAAAAAAAATTCTCAGAAGACCCTGCAAATAAATTTTTTGTTCCACGGCACCTAGTTTAGACTTCTGCATCTTTTGAACATGAGTAGAGATTTATCTCGTGTTTGCTGTTGAGGTTTGGGTTTCTGGTTCCTTTTAAAGTTTTCTCTTTCACTTCCAGTAAACTCCTTTGCGTCTTAGCAGCATTATTGCTTTGCTTGGGGTGAAATGAGAAAAAAAAAAAAAAAAAAAGAAAGCAGATAGAAAAATATAATCAACTATTATAAGAAAAAAAACAAGACATTGTATATTTTACAAAATTTATAGATGCTTTCTAAAAGCCGTAAATTGTTTGAAAGATATTTACTATAATTTCCTTGGTTCTTTTTTTTTGCTATTTGAAAACAAAAAAAGATTCAATGAAAATTTCATGAAAAGTTTCTTGTAAAATATATCTTCAGCTGTATATTGCTGTGAAGTGTTTAGGCTATTAAGTCATTTTTCCTGCTTAACCCACTTTTTTCTTTTTTTTCCTCTCTTGCATAGAACTGGAAGCAAAACTGGAAAACAGCAACGATGAAAGAAAATTGCTTCTGGAAAGGTGAGAAAACTTTCAACATTCAAGTTAACAATGTGAGCATAAACATGAGAATTGCTTGAATAGCTTAGTCATTTCATCAGGTTTTCAGAAGTGGGAGAGCTTTTCAGCACACACGCAAGTCCTCGTCAGGGCAGGCAGAGACAAATGGTGAGTTTCATAAAACTAGTGAGTGTGTCAGGTTACCTCCTCCTAATTTTTCAAAACTGCTGCCCATCCTGAGTATGGCAATAAACTACACCCATGTCCTGGGTAAGACGATAAACTACATCCGACAGCAAGGCTTTCATCAGGAGGTTTTAAGGAGCATGGGACCACCTCTTAATTGCTGGTGTTCCCAGGTCCACCTTGACCTGGGGTGGTAGCACATGTCAGGGTCTCAGCTATGGATAAATAGTTAACCCCCCCCCCGCTCAAAGGAGTCAAAACACTATGAAAGTATTAAAATAGATTTTAATACCAGCAATACTTTTTTGACAAAATTATTACCAGCAATACATTTTTGAAAAGGAAAATATTACCAGCAATTTTTTTTTTTTTGGAAGAAAAAAAAAAAGAAATATTACCAGCAATAAAAATCTTGTCAGCATTACATAACTCATTGATGTTGATATGCCATAAAACAAACCAAATCGAAACTGCTACTAGGAGACGCTTTCAGGACTATAAATAATCTGTGATAATTTTTTAGCCTATTACTTTTTCAACTTACATGACATGTAAATCTCTTGTAGAGTACGTATTCCCTTTTGGGAAACGCATAAACCATACACACATACTCACTCACTACACATACTTTGCAGCCAAAAAGTTTTCACATTTATTTGTTACACACATTATTGTCTATGTCACTTGTATACCATTATTAATACATTATCATTTGTTTGTACATAACCATACTTTGCCTTGTGCCACATCTAAGCTATGCTTAGTAAATTGCCGTAGCCTTACTGATATAAAAAAAATGCATTTATTTTGCACAAAAAATGTTAGTTTTCAACAATCTCCTTCATTGTCAATGCACTTAATTCACTGGATTGGACATATATACAGTGAAACTTTCAGATTGCAATGCAGCTCAGTGTCAGATGTTACAAAGAGTATTCTTTTTTTTTTTTTCTTCTATTAGGTGCCTGGCAAGTGAAGCTGAATGTGAGAGCCTACAAGACAGAATTTCACAGGTGACAAGAAAATTAGAGGACACACAAGCTGCACTTCAAGAGTTAGGCCGGGAGAATCAGTCATTACAGGTGAGACGAGTTTGTGTACTACCAACAGGTAAATGGTTATTCAGAGCTTTTTTTTTTTTTTTTGTCTAGGGACCAGAGATCATTAGAATGCCATGTTGGGTAGAGTGGTCAGGGTTTAACATCCTGTCCTTTATAGCATTTCAATGCACAAAATGAGATGGTGATCTACAAATTCTCTCTAGGTATCACACGTTTGATAAGCAGGTAGTGATAGAAAAAAAATCTCATTCCATTCATTGAATGTCTGATATCTACATTTTTTCTTCTTGATATTAATTTCCACTGGACTTAATTCAAACAAAAACTTTTTTTTGTTTTTGGCATGTGTTTTCTATTATTCATTTTGATTTCAATTTGTTCACCATTGTTTTTCATTCATGCAAATACATGTATTTTATTTCTGTCAACATCTGTTAAATGTTATTCACTCTCACCATGTTTCATGTGTTTAAAAATGGCTAAGATTATAATGTTTAGCTATCTGCATAAATACAAATGTTTTCATGTTTACAACCAAATTATGAATGAAATATTCATTTAAATTTTTTGTTTCATAGATTTCAAGTAGTGATTACATATTACTTTGCAAAGTGGTAACCAGCAGACAAAGCCTGCTAGTGTATTATATATTGATCAATATTTTGGAAGTAAGATTTGTCATGTCGAATTTTCCTTTTCATAATCAATGTCCAATATTTTGACTCAATGGTTTATTATTTTTTTTTTCTTTCTCAATCAGATAATGACCACAAAAGTTCAAAACAGAAAGTGGACAGATGATAGTCAAGTACTGGACTGTATGGGTTGTGGCAAGGCTTTCTCCTTGACCATCCGTAAGGTAAGTTTGTGTTGTGCTTTTTTCATGTGGATGTTTCAGGTGGTGTAATGGATAGTGCCTCCGAAATCGAAGACCTGGGTTCAAATTCCGGTCGAGTTTGTTACATTCACTTAGAAAGCTATGAATCCATCTAGTCTCCCTCCATCTGTAGGTTAAATAACAGACTAAAAGCCTAATGATGGTTAAGACTTAAAATGTCATTTAATTTTTTATAGTATATATAAATTTGTTTTTCATCCAAATATGTTTCATTTGATTCTATTACTCTTTTTGAATATATCTCGACTCTTTTCATGCAAAAATCTTTGAAGTACAAATAGGTATTCAGATTGTGAGTCTCTGGTTTTGAGATTGAGCAAATCTGTTTATTTACGATGGTGTTCACTCTGTACAAGGCCTGAGGGCCACTCAGTAAGAGGCACAGTCTAAGCAGATATGTATAAAAGATAGCAGTTAACTCTAGACTTTATCAGGTTAAGATTGTAGTGACTGGAGAAGCATCCTCAGGGGAGTCATTTCCACAAGGCAGCAGTTTGTGGGAATATGCTGCTTAAGTGCAACTTACATATCAACAAAGGAATATGAAAGTAATGAATGTGGTTTGCTGCAATGTGAATGACATGAAGGGTTCTAACTGTAAAGATCAGGACCAGTGGAACTAAGAAGTGTAGTTCATTTGAATATTTTTCATGGGAATAGTGATAGAGCAATGAGAAGTTTGCGACATCTCATCCGTATGAAAGGGGGTTTTAAGCTGGAAAATATGAGGATAAGGCCCCAAAACTCATGAAGAACACTGAACAAAGGGACATGTATTCCTTTGACAGATTTTTCCCCTGAAAGCTCATTTCTGCTCAAATATGTATCCAAAATATAAACGAAGCAATTTCTAAAGAATGAATAGACTTATTTTTTAATTTGACCGACATTTATATTACTCCAAATAGTGGATACCTGTATTTGAGTAGATGTCCATTTTTTTTAACATTTTTACAGAGAATGTATTATGTCTCCTGGCCTGTGTACTTGAGGAAAAAAATTTAATAAAGAAAATTGTGGCCTATATCAGGTTTCAAATCTGCATCAGCACTTTTTTTAGGAACAAACAACCAGCATGCTTTGGATACACACAGGATCAGACGGTGGTTTCTCCAGAAGACTTAATACACACTGTTTAAATAGATAAAACCATCCTGGGTAAGACGATAAACTACGTCCAACAGCAAGGACTCTGATCAGGAGGTTTTGAGGAACGTGGAACCATCTCTTAATTGCTGGTGTTCCCAGGTCCACTCTGACCCAGGGTGTTAGCACCTGTCTGGGTTCCAGCTATGCGCAAATAGTTAACCCCCTAAAAGGAGTCAAAACACTATGAAAGTATAAGAATAGGTTTTAATACCAGCAATACTTTTTGGGAAAAATTTTTACTAGCAATACATTTTTGAAAAAAAAATAAATATTACCAGCCATAAAAAAACTTCTCGGTATTAAATAACCTATTTAGGTTGATATGCCATGAAACAAAAACCAAATCAAGCTAATAATAAAATAAGAAAACAAAAAATGGGACATCTACTCAAATACAGTAAAAATAATTTTTGAAGTAATAAAAATATCTGGTTAAAAATCGTCCCCACTCTTACTTCTCCTTTCCCTCTCTTTTACAGTCACACTCAATAACCCCGTCTCCCTTGAGTTGGGTCTTATTGGGTGAACTATCATTTAAAAAAAAAAAATCTTTTAAAAATTTCTATTTGGAATGTATAACTCTGGCATTATCTCTTGAAAGTGATAACTGTAGTTATCCCCCTTGCATTACCGATATTACAAGTTGAGTATCCTTTATACAAAAACCTCCAAAATCCGAAAGTTTGTCAGGTGTTGACATGATTTGCCACAAATGCAACATTTCAGAAAGCCCAGCTATGCAGCCTACATTGGTGCTTTTTATTTTTTGTTAGTGATCGTCAATGCAACACCTTCGTTCATGGATTACTTACCAGGTGTTTCATGCTCAGTAAAGATATTATTCAAAATGTCAAAAACTCCTGCATCTATATATTGTTTTGTAAGTCGTAATCATGTTTTGTTTTTTTTTTGTATATGTACAGAAAGTACAAAACTTTGTTTTTACATGAAATCTTAAATTCACTACTTAAAATCTGTGTGAGCATTACCTAATTAGTGTCATTACCGTTATCAGCATGTACAGAAACTTTCTTAAATTTTATATGAAACTACTTTCAGTATATGTGTTATTTATATAAAACTATCTTCAGGGTATAAGCTGTGTTATGAAATGTAAAAAAGGATATCGTGTTTATGCTTGGGTTCTATTCCCAAGCTGTCCCATTTTATAGATGCTATATACAAACGATATAGCCTGTATTCCGAAATCAAGAAAAAAAAATCTGAAAACTAAAGCACTTCTGGTTCCAAGAATTTCAGATAAAGGATTCTCAACCTGTATAAGTTAACAGGTAATCAAGTCAGTTAAGTGTCACACATGATACAAGCTTCGGCAATCATGTCTCGATTCATGACTGACCAGGCAGATTTTCTCACCGTTTCTTTCTGCTGTAAACTGGTTGCCATCTAAGTCTATCAAACCCAGCCTGTCCTGCTATTTAACCCCTAACTAGGAGAAGAGATGGATCCATACCTTTCCTAATGGTATTTCTCATTTCGAGCCCATATTCATTACATCATGACGTAATAGACAGAGAGAAAGAGAAAAAAAAAAAAACTGTCTTCCATGTCCATTTGTAGTAAATAGGAAGATCATGAATTACTAATAAATTCTTTTTTTTGTTTCTCTTACAGCACCACTGCAGAAACTGCGGCAATATCTTCTGCAATGAATGCTCCACAAGGCAAGCCCCAATTGCATCAGCCAAAAAACCTGTCCGCGTGTGTGATAGTTGTTTCAAAGAACTTGAAAATGCCAAATGACAAACCCCAATGTGAAAAAAAACTCAATTTTAAAGATGAGAATTAAAAAAAAAAAAAAAATGAGAAGCTGAAAATGAAAACAATCAATTCAAAGACTTTCTTCCTCAAAATCATACAAAGAAATCAGTGACAGCATCTTTGCCGATGCTGAGAATTGTTGAAGTGAACCTTTTTGTGCCATTCAGCATGTATCCCTTCTATCAAAGCAGAACAGGGTCTGCAAAATTACTCTTTCTAAAAAAAAAAAAAAAACAAAAAACTTCAAGGCTGCCTTATCAAAAATTTCTGATCCCTTGCACATGGGGGCGTGGAGGGAGGGGGTGGGGGACAGTTGCAGTACATCCCCGCGACCCCCTCACTCCCTCTGCTGCTTTCAATTTCTTAGCCTAAAAAATAAACCTGGACAATTATCAGATTAAAACAGAAATGATAATGTTATTGAATTAAACAGAAAAACTGTTGATTTGTTATATTGGTTCTTTTTTTTTTTTTTTTTTTTTTTTTTTTTTATGAATGCCAATGTGTATAATATATTTATATATACATAATACACACACCACAAACACACAGAAGCATGATCATGCTGTGCACAACTCTTTTTTTTTTTTTTTTTTCTTACAGATCTACTTCATTTACAAAATTCTCTCACCTTGTGGCTTTGTCTATTTTCATTTTCCCATCATCTTTTTTTTTTTCTGACTTTCTTTTCTATTTTGTCTATTTTTTTCGTCTTTTCTATTTTGTCTATTTTTTTCGTCTTTTCTATTTTGTCTATTTTTTTCGTCTTTTCTATTTTGTCTATTTTTTTCGTCTTTTCTATTTTGTCTATTTTTTTCGTCTTTTCTATTTTGTCTATTTTTTTCGTCTTTTCTATTTTGTCTATTTTTTTCGTCTTTTCTATTTTTTATTTTTTTCGTCTTTTCTATTTTGTCTATTTTTTCGTCTTTTCTATTTTGTCTATTTTTTTTTTTTATCTTTTCTATTTTGTCTATTTTTTTCGTCTTTTCTATTTTGTCTATTTTTTTCGTCTTTTCTATTTTTTTTAATCTTTTTTTTGTCTATTTTTTTCGTCTTTTTCTATTTTGTCTATTTTTTTTTCTCTTTTCTATTTTTTCTATTTTTATTTTGTCTATTTTTTCGTCTTTTCTATTTTGTCTATTTTTTTTCGTCTTTTCTATTTTGTCTATTTTTTTTTTTCTTTTCTATTTTGTCTATTTTTTTTTTTCGTCTTTTCTATTTTGTCTATTTTTTCGTCTTTTCTATTTTGTCTATTTTTTTTCGTCTTTTCTATTTTTTCTCTTTTTTATTTTGTCTTTTTTTTTTTCTCTTTTCTATTTTGTCTATTTTTTTTTCTTTTCTATTTTGTCTATTTTTTCGTCTTTTCTATTTTGTCTATTTTTTCGTCTTTTTCTATTTTTTCTTTTTTTTCGTCTTTTCTATTTTTTTTTTTTCGTCTTTTCTTTTTGTATTTTTCTTTTTCTGCTTTTCTTTTCTTTTTTTTTTTCTGGCTTGTGATTTTTTTTTCCACTCTTTGTGTCTTCGTCTTTCGCCTTTCTTCTCCGTGTCTTCGTCTTTTTCGCCTTTCTTCTCCGTGTCTTCGTCTTTCGCCTTTCTTCTCCGTGTCTTCGTCTTTCGCCTTTCTTCTCCGTGTCTTCGTCTTTCGCCTTTCTTCTCCGTGTCTTCGTCTTTCGCCTTCCGTCTTCGTTTTTTTCAACTTTTTCTTGGTGTCTTCGTTTCCTTCATTTCTGTTTCCTCTTCTTGTTTTGTCTTTTTTGTTTCATCTTTTCATCTTCTTATTTTTATTTTTATTTTTTTGCTCTTATTGAGAAATAGAGATCTTGGCCATATGCATAATTTCTTGTTAATCTCATGATTTTTGTATCTTTTTTACTTTAAAAATTTTTTATCATCAATTTTTGACTGCATTAACATAAGCATGCAAATTTTAATAAAAAAAGCTAAAGATCAATTTGAAATTTAGTTACAGGCTTCAAGAAAGGCAGCTTCTCTTCATTGTTACACAAAGGTAGTTATGTAACCTGAGAAATGAAGATATTTCGATTATTTGAATTGGTTTGTATTTGTTTTTCATTCTGAAATAGATGTGTGTGTGTGTGTATGTATGTGTGTGTGTGTGTGTATATATATATATATATGTTTGTAAAGACAATATTAATAAAATAAATGACAAGAGGAAAATCTTTTATGCCAATGCATTTAATTCCTTCAAGAACTTTATCAAGGCAAATGTAACAATTTTATTTAGTAACCTGTGTTTATACACAGAAGTAATGTCATTTTATTTTTATCCATGCTATTTCTATATATAAGTACTGGTTACTAAATAAAATTTCTCCATTTGCCTTGATAAAGTTCCTCAAAGAACGAGGCATGTTGACATAAAAGGTTTTCCTTGTGTTTTTTCTTTAATTTATAGTGTCTTTATAGATATTTTATTTACACCTGAATTTATATAATATATATATATATATATATATATATATATATATATATATATAAAAAGCTATATAGTTTTAAGGTGTGCTACATTTATGGGATAAAGTGCTCAATATCAGATATAGAGTATATATAAAAATGAACATTGAAGTCAACACTCAGAGGCGACAGGCTGTTTCATGCTAGACACACTCATCAGGCCTGATGATTGCGTTTTGCATGAAAAAGTCTGTCGCCTCTGAGTGCTAACTTCAATGTTCACTTATATATAAGTTTACTCATTTTGCAAGCTATATATCAAGTATTTCTTCACCCAAATACCCTCATATTGGTATGACATGCTCATGTTTGCAAAATTTAAACAATTTTCATATTCTCATTTTCAAAATCTTAAAATAATTTAAATGAAATCTTTTGTGTTTTAATCATTTCGCTCCAGGCAATAAAGCCACTAAGACGCAAGAGGTTACTGAATGTTAGAAAATATGTGAAAAAAAGGAAAAAAAAAAACTATTAAGGAGAGAGAACAATAAAAGAATAGGAATTTAGACGATAAAGATTGACATTGCATTTAAATTTTTGTAGATCAAAGTTAGTGGCAGAAGAGAGTTCCACAAGCGAGAAGTGTGAGAAAAGAAACTGTTAGCGTAGAATTTACAGTTACATCTAACCAATTCAACTGTGGATTGATAAAACCTTGCTGCCAATCTAGTACTGCGTTTAAATTCATGAAGTCCAGATAACATAGTTCATCTGAACAATTACTATGAAAGTATTGTTATGGTGGTATGAAAGTGACTGAAGCCGAGATGCCAGTTCAGGACTAAAAATATTGCTGATTCATCTTTAGATTTTATCAAAAATCTCTAAATATACAGCAAAAGCAGCAGACCATATGTGGCAGCAATATTCAAAGCATGGACAAATGGTAGACTTATAAATATGTAAGATAGATTCAGGAGAGAAAAACTTGTCTAACACTACACAGTAAACCAACTTTCTTAGCAACAGACCGAGCAAATGATTCCATATTGTCTTTCCCCTTCATGTTAGATGAGAATGTTAGCTTTAGAAGGTGCAATGAGTCACTCTCATAGAGGTTGGCCCCTAGCCATGCTGATGGGAGGCAGGAAGGGCTCTTTCAGGTAATTGATAGAAATCTCATTTTTGGAAGCGTTAAAATTAACAAGCCATTCCTTGCCCCAGTTAACAACAGACTGTGTGCCATCTTTGAGATCAGCTACCAATTTGACCTTACTGAACTGATCAGATTTATTATTGAGACGAGAGTAAATAGTTGTCATCAGCATAGATATCAAGTTGAGAATTGATGTCATCAGAAAGGTCATTGATGAAAATTAAGAACAAGTAGGCCCAAGGATGGAGCAGTGGGGGACATACCATATCTGGGATACATAATGAGGAAAGAGGCCTTGGCGAATTTGACACTCACAGTATCAAAAGTGGCTGTTTAACTTTAGTGATTTGATAAGACTGAATAGGTTCCCAATATGCGAAACCCTCTCAAATGCTTTCAAGATGTCTAAATCAACAGCCTGAGTTTCACCAGTCTTATCTATAGACTTTCAGCAATAATCATTAATACATCAGCAGTTGACCTAGAGAAGCGAAAGCCATATTGCTTCTCTTAAAGAAGGCTGTACAATAGGTGAAATGCCTAACCAATTCAGAGTTGATTTTGTTATTTGATATCCTCTCTGGCATCTTAGGTGAAAACAGGCAGGTATGTAAATTTAATTATCAAGGAAATGCTTTAATAGAGGATGGAAAATGCGGCACTGAAATTCAAAGTCACATTCAGATAGTGAAAGATGCCTTCAAAAAGCTAAGAAACAGGAAAATTTTGATAGTTCAGCAATCTTTTTCATTGTTTCTATTATGTACAATCTGTCCTTTTATATAATAGTGAATGCTGGACAATTTCTTCACAGATGAAGAAGGGACTTGAGGCAACAGTGATGTGGTTCTCCTGAGAATATGAGGAAGTTTTAAGGAAAGTGGTAATAAAGAGGACACTCATACTTAGAATCAGAAAATGAAGCTGAAATTTTGGGATGCATGATGAGGAAACAGGGCTTGGAGAATTTGACACTCACAAGCCAAGAGGAGCAGAGAGAAACAGTGAGTAACTTACTTAACAAGCTTGTGTGAATTTCTGGGATACATAATGTGGAAAGAGGGATTGGAGAATTTGACACTCACAGGACATACTAAAGTCAAGAGGGGCAGAGAGAAACAGTGAACAACTTAATGATCTTGTGTACATTTCTGGGATATTAATGAGAAAAGAAGACTTGGAGAATTTGATACTCACAGGACATTTTTAAAGGAAGAAGAGAAGAAGGAAACAGTAAATAATTTAACAAGCTCGTGTAAATTCCTGGGATATATGAGAAAAGAGGACTTGGAGAATTTGACACTCACAGGACATATTGAAGGCAAGAGGAGCAGAGTGAAACAATGAGTAACTTAATTAACAAGCTTGTGCGAATTTCTGTGATACATAATGAAGACTTGGAGAATTTGACACTCACAAGCCAAAAGGGGCAGAGAGAAACAGCGAGTAACTTAACGAGCTTGTGTGAATTTCTAGGATACATAATGTAGAAAGAGGGATTGGAGAATTTGGCACTCACAGGACATTGAAGGCAAGAAGGGCAGAGAAAAACAGCAAATAACTTAACGAGCTTGTGTACATTTCTGGGATACATAATGAGGAAAGAGGGCTTGGAGAATTTGACACTAACAAGACCCATCAAAAGTAAGGGACAGAGGAAAGCAATGATTTGCATATGCTTAAAAGTTCATGTAGAGAGATAGTTTGAAACACTTAGCTTTCTTGGATTGTTGAGAGAAAATTCTCTGAAGTGCTGTGTGCTGGTTAGATGCTGATAATATAATTGGTGAGTAATCTTACACTAGCAAGAACTTCATTTCTGGTCGCTGGTACGAGGAACTGAAACAGAACCTTTCACATGACTTCAGTCACTCTTTTATTAATTTAATTTTTCTCTTCATTTTTTTATCAAAAAGAATTTTGCATAGACTCACTTTCTTTTCTTTCTTCTTCTTGGCTCAACAAGTGATTTCTGTGAAGACAAGGCTTTCATTGGTTCAAAAAGTAATTCACATCGGCTTTCAAATTCATTTCCTCCTTCTTTTTGGCTCACTGGTCAATTTCTGTGAAGGTAAGGTTTTCATTGGTCTAAAGAAAATTTAACATAGTTTCGCAAATTCCTTTCCGTCTTTTTTGTCAGTTCTCTGAATTTGAATTATTATTTCGTACTCACTACAAAACTATATGCAAGTGTGGATCATTATGTCTAGCCTGTCATCTATTTGATCTGAAATTTTTACTGTATAATATCCAATGTATCTAATAATGATACACCACTGAATTCATGGATATTAACAAAGTTTGTTTGTATTTTAGGTGAAAGTGCATGCTTAATATGTAAACAAAGAAGATAGAAGCATACAAAACCTGAGTTTCTACTATGGATGTTTATTCTTTTTATGGTTATTGTAGTGAAACAAAGTTTTCTTTGTCCCTTAGGCATGTTCATTCTCTTTCTGGTTCAGAAGTTAGGGTAGATAAGTATAAGTATTGTATTCATGGTTGAGCTCAAGTTAACCTTGTGCAGAGTTGGAACAACCAAAGGAAAGTTTCTATTTATTTAATTACTAGGAGATTTAAACATGGTTATGGGATGTCTGTTCTCTTTTTCTTGGTCTAGAAATTAGGGTAAATCAGTATAAGTATTGTTACTATAGTCACACTCAAGTCAGCCTTGCACTGAGTTGGAACAACCAAAGAGGAAGCTTGTCTTACTTCATAGGTTGAGGTTTTGGAAGAAATTTGTGAGTGTCATGTGTTGGAAAGTGGGAAGAGAGTTCAGTTGTCAATGGATTGGGGAAACTAATATTTCCCAATGGGAACGTAATTACCACATGGATCACATCTTAAAGCAAAGAGGAGAAAGAGAATGAAGCAGGAAATGTTTGCCTTTAATATAGGCTTCAACAACGCCACTTAATGGCATTTGATAAAACCAAGTGGGGTAATCATATTTCCAGTTCCTTTACTCTTAACATCATTGGAAAATGTATTGTCTCTTTTTTTAATGTTCATTATTATTATTTATTTTATTTCATTTTTCCCACAAATTAAGCACATTAACAAGATGGCATTTTTAAGTTGGCTCACATCGCTACCAAATGTGAT